TCTTTCCTTACTCTGGTGTGGTGGTGGGGGGGGGGGGGGTGGGGGGGGGGGGGGGGGGGGGTGGTGGGGGGGTGTGGGGGGGGGGGGTGTTGGGTGGGGGTGGGTGGGGGGTGGGGGGGTGGGTGGGGGGGGTGGGGGTGGGGTGTGGGGGTGGGGTGTGGGTGTGGGGTGAGGGTGAGAATGTAAGTTTGTAATGGTTATGAGGTTAAGCGTAGCACATTTACAAACCAATGTTGCCGTCACCGTCACTCTCACCCTCATCCTCACACCCTCCTTACGTATATACGTGTGTTTGAGAAATCTTGTTTGCCTGGGTTTTTTCCCGTTATCTCTTATACCTTAAGCAGTGTCGAGTGTTGAATGAAATATTATCACTTGTGAAAATAAGACGAACAAAATGACTGATAGTAATAATAGTTTGGCTCGTTTTCTTGATGCTGCTGAAGAGCCTAATCGAATACTTCTTCCAATCGAAGGCTATGAAAAAGAACAAATAATATCACTTGAATTAGCTGTCGAACCAATCAAATTATTTTTACATGATCTTGATCGGAAGGTAAAGATAGCACTACAAAATTCACAAAATCCATCAGATAATCTTAGTTCTAATGAATCGGCTGCTATTTGTCTTTATACAATGGAGTGGCAATCGCCACATAAAAGTTTATATACAGTCCTAAATGAAAAACTTCGCTCTGAATGTCAAAATGATTTAAAACCATGGTTTCGATATTTAAAACTTTTTCTTACGGCATTGTACAAGTTACCATCTATTAAATGTACGATATGGCGAGGTATGCGAAGTAATGTAGATAATCAATATGATGAAAACAGCGAGCAACCATGGTGGGGATTTAGTTCTTGTACGGAATCAATGGATGTGACAAAAAACTTTCTCGGTTCTGCACCTGAATGTACATTGTTTATTATCGAATGTATTCGCGGCAAATCAATTGCAGCTCATTCGTATTATAAAACAGAAAAAGAAATTTTATTGATGCCTGGTACGTATCTTTATACAGAAAAGAAATGGAATCATCCTGATGGCTCACAAATGATTCATTTACAAGAAATCGGTCCTCCGTATCAACTTATAGCACCACCATTTGATATATCCTCAGCATTTCATGTTACATCTGGCCAGAATAAATTACAATCTCAAATACAATCAGATAGTAAGATCATCTACCAGTGATGATAATGAAATGATTTTATTGGTACTTTTATATAGCTAAGTAAAATTATATTTTCTTTAGAAATATTAAAGTCATCGTTACATCTAATCTGTCCGGTTGATGGGTGTTTTGGTACTCTTGATGATGAAAGCGTGAACACTATCGCCATTCTTTTTAGTCTTCCTGTTGGTGTAGCTTATTCAACAATGTATTGTACTGGTATATTACCAATAAGTTCTCATCAGTTTACTCTTGGATTTATTGCTGGATGTGGTTTATTAGTTGGTCTTCCCATTTAAAACCATTCATTTGTCATGCGATCATCGATCTTATCAGTATAACCATAGGTTAACTGATAAAAAGTGTAAGTTAATTGACTACATATTTTACCTTGTTCGATGCGATCTTTGTCATTTTGGTATTTTTAATTATAAATGTAAAAAATGCAGCCGTTATAACTGTTTATTTATTATCTGATCATATGTCATATTTTTCTGCTTTCAAGTTTATCTAATGAAAGAACAAGATAATTGAATGTATATATTACATATGCGTAAATTGTCGTCGTAAATGAACGCATATATCATCAACTTGAAATTTCTTTCGAATAAAAAACAATGCTATAATATTATTTCATTATGAATGTGTTCATCTTATTTGCAAAATTCAATAAATTTTCCTATCAAACAAATCTGACACATAAGTGATGCAATGATTTGAAGGAATTGAGATTATTCTCATTTATTCTTACTTCTATTCGATGTTTACATGTATCATTATTTTCAACACAAATAAATACAAGTAACGCTCATCCTTTGGATTCGCTGACCCTTTTCTGAAAGAAAAATACATCATTCTTAGTGTGACAGAATTTATCTAGCTTTAATCGGACGTTTGATTTTAAAAATGGGCTTGAGATAGAAGTGTAATCAATCAAGATAATAATACAATATGCAAAATGAGCAAAACTAGGAAGATTTTTTTTCTTTTATTATACCTCATCAAAGGTGATTTGACATGTGCCAATAGCATCAAAACAGAAAACTAACGAAAATCGATATTATTTGAAATGAAAAGTTTACAAATGTCGACNCGTTGTGTATAGAAAGAGGAAGAAGAGGGAAGGAGACAGAAAAAAGGAAGAAGTGTACAATCATAGATTGTCACAATATCAACAATGAAATTTTCTCTTATCCTATCTATTACTATATCCTAAAATCCTCCATCCAAAATTATACCATCACACAGAGCAATTAATTCGAAATCGCATTCAACATTTTCACCTATACACAGATATCCTCACACGAAGGAATGCTCTCCTCCATGTTCGCATATATGCGCAGTTGGATATGTATGGATTGTGGCTGTGAACCTTAACTGGGAAGTCGCTTTTACGATCTATTGTACATATCGTTCGTGGTTTTTTTCTGAAAGAGAGATTGTGTTTCGCAGTGAGAAATGAGATGTGATGCTGAGATGTTATGTTTTCAGACAGAGAAAGGGTCACGGGTATGTTGTTAGATTTGGTCGACATGCGTATATGTGCAGGGGAGGTGAGAATTTGATGGTAAAGTCGAATTTTGTTATTTATTGGAAGGATTGATGCGTTAGGTTTTTATATGTAAAGGGAATGTAGTTTGGATATTGAGCCTCACGATTCTGGCTATTACATGGCTTGTGAAGTGAAAGAAGCTTCATTTCAACGTTGAATAAGAATCTGCTGTGCTGATGGAATCGAGTAGCGGAGAACTGGAAGGATCGGTGTTTTTACTCTGTGGATAGGAATGAAGATTTAGTTTCGATGGTGTATATGTAGGAATCTGCTTGTGTGTTGTCGAATTGCATTCACTTTGACATTCGAAGAAGTTTTGGTTTTTCTCAATTATCTTGAGGGTATTTTTTCGATGCAGTAGTCTTTGTCTAAGGTGGTGTGGTAGAAGCGATGAGTGACCGTTTGGTTCCATGCAAATCAGAATCTGCGCTATTTCTCATGCATTTGTGTGAGATGGTGTCCGGCATAGTGGGCAGTAGTTGTATAGGACAGGGTTTTTCTTTTATATACAGATATTACTCATTTCGACTGTTTAGCGATTGGAACTGTAGAGACCTGCGGGTGTGATACGGAATAGTGTTAAAGAGCTCTCTGGGCGATAGTTGAGATTTTGTTTGGAGCAGCAGTTCGGGTGCAGATATTCAGGCGTTTTCAGTATATGCCATTAGCATGGGTATCCTATGACAAATACGAAATATCTATGGCGAACGTATGACATACGAAGAAATTGTACTGAGTAGAAAAAGCAGCATGCTCAAAATTTCGACACTTGCGGTCCTTATGTTTCCGGTTTTCCGTTGCACAACACGGTTACTTCGGTTGCAGTTTTGTACGCAAAGACGTTGCTGAATCTTATTTCTGCAATAGGAGTTTGATTAATTTTCTTTTACTCTGATATTTATTCTCCATTCCAATCGTCCATTTATAGACTTCATTGTCACTTTAACACGTCAGCCTATAGATTATATCTTCTCATTCACCCTTCCTTTCACTCTAATCCACAATCGAGGTTCATCTCAATCTTTTCAAAGCCTTCATCGCTACTGACTGACTCCATCGATTCCCTGTAGCCACTGGAACACCCATAAATTTATACCACGCGTAGAGTGTTCTCTACGAGCGCTCAGACGGCCTTCGGCCGCCTTCGCTATCACAGTTAATCTTGATGCTTTCTCCAACGAAGATCCACCACCAACAGCCCTCCCAAACCATGTTTTATGAAGTTTCGAGCGTTTTTGGAAAAAATGTTTTTTTGACCTTTGACCTTTGATCTGCGATAGACACACACACACACACACAAACGAATTTCCGTTTTTTGACCACTTTTTTTCGACATGACCCTCCTTTCAGTCGAGGGAACAATCCTCAATGGAATGAAAAGAAAAACTACCGTCGACGTCTATTTCTAATGGAATTAGGTTATGATCTTGTTCAGTTGCATTTGGATCGACGACGACATCAACCACAGGCACTTCAAAAGAATGTTCTGATGGCTACACAAGCGATTGGACTAACTGTTACTACTTCACACCCATCTATTGTTTCAACGGCTACTACCAAACAACGTTGTCATTTTTGCCCAAGAGAGTGTGATTGCAAGATTATTACTCACTGTTCAAGTTGTAATTCTCCCTGTTGTCCAGATCATCATAAAGTTGTTTGCACGACATATAGTGAAACATTTTTAGGATGAAAGTAGATTATACGAAAATGTTTTTAGAAATAAACGATAAAATAACGAAATATAGATTCTTTTTATAAGCTTATGACTGTCTAAGAGACGAACTATATACCACATAATAATATCATAGTATACTACTTAAAAGGTGCATTATATCTATCCTATTGGGTTGGGGTCTATGCGAACCCCAGGTGGTTTATAAGTGGTAGTCCTACAAGTGGGCGTATGAGGGTTAACATGTATGGAAAGTGAAAATTTCCTATGTAAAAGCACATACATGGCAATTATCTGCTTACTGAAATTGTACACATACAGTTGTATGCGTGTATGTGGCTCATACCATATACATAGATAAGTAGGACTTATGTTGCAAACAATGCTGCTTCCTTTATGTGTTACGATCTACGGGTGTTTACGCAAATAAATATGTGACTTCTGCAGCAGAAGAAGGCAAAAAGAAAATGCTGTTTAACAAAAACTGGTTACAGTTTGAGATTTGCTATGTCCTCCCTTTGTTTTGATGGTTAAAATCAGTGTTATTATACATCAAGAGAGATCCTCATATATAACATAGATTTTTTTTCAAAGTGAAAATGAGAGCATAAGCAGAGAGCGCCATCACTCCTAAAATTTGCGTTCATTTATTTGCGCAATATCTCGATCATTTCTTCGACGAGTTTGGCTTTCGATACTTTTCCGATTGCTGTTCGACTGAATTCTTCAATAAAACGTATGTGTGCAGGTATTTTGTACGAAGGCAATTTATCAGCAAGGAAAGCATAAAGCTCATTAGCTGAACATTGCATGTCTGGATGAAGTTTAACAGTTGCACATAAAATTTCATCTTCGATAAGATCAGGAATCGAAAAAACGTACGCTTCGGAAATGCTTTGATGCTCTTCGATAGTTTTTTCAATTTGAACTGGCCAGATATTACCGCCACCTCGAATAATCACTTCTTTTTTCCGACCAATAAAAAATACAAATCCGTCTTCATCCATCATTCCTATATCACCTGTTTGTAGCCATCCATCTTCAACAAACGTTTCAGTTGTTTTTTCTTTGTCTTCGTAATAGTGACGCATCATAAAACGGCTTCGAGCATATATTTCGCCTTCAGTTTTTATTGGTGCAACTCGACCATTATTATTCTGTATTTTGATTTCAACATGTGGCATACATCGACCAATTGATGTATGTCGTCGATCGTCTTCGCAATGAAAACTGTCTGTAAGTGGTCCTGTCTCTGTCATCCCATAAAGTTGACCGACTCGACTAAAACTGAATTTGGACTCTAGTTCACGGAGAAATTGTGGTTGTATGGGTGTAGAACCTATGGCTATATACTGTAATGATGACAAATTATATTTATCTCGATTAGGATGTGAAAGCATATTGCGAAGTAAAGTTGGATTGCTTAGAAAGAAAGTACAATTTTCTTCATGAATTGCTCGCATGGTCGCTTCTGGATCGGTTATCGGGGCTGGTACAATAACAGTACCTTTTCTAAATGACGGTATCAATGAAGTCCAAACGCCACTTGACACATGGGACATGGAAGATGGTGCACAAATTCGTTCGCATATTGATCCAAAATGGTACCAGTTGGAGGCTATAATATTTATCACACTGAAATTTGTTAAAACTGCTGCTTTCGGTCCACCCGTCGTACCGGATGTTAAAAGGATGCAAAGTGGTAAACAAGAATCAATTGACGATTGGCGTTCATCGAGTAAAACTTGTTGTTCTGTTTTATTCACATCGCCTTCTTTGATTAGATCATCGTATGTATGCGCATTTTTTATAGTATTTGAATTTGATCCAGTAAGAATAACATGTTCGAGTATAGTTTCGTTCTTCAACTGTGATTGATAATTGAGATCAGACATTGCCTCTCGTAATGTATTTAATGCAGTATCATCCGATGGTAGTATAAGACCTTTACATCCAATCACTTTTAGAGCATGAACAAGGTCTCGACACACAGCAAATTGATATATGTAAACCTAAGTGATAAAAATAAACATATATATATACGTGTGTGTTTTGATACTTGATCCATTAAACCTACTCGAATGAGTCCAATTTTTGATGCAACATATGTGAATACAATATTTTCGGGGCAATTTGGTAAGAAAATACCAATACGATCGCTCTTCTTAAAACCTAACTTGATCAACGCGTATGCCATACAATCAATTTCTCGTTGAAGCATTGCATATGTATAACGTTTCTCTTCAGCTATGCATGTAGAAAAAATGTAGAAAAGCATTAAAATAGTATGCAGGGCAAAATTATGGAAGTATTCATTATATTACTTTTAAAGATATAGCATACATGATTAGGATTTTGAATGGCAACTTGATCAAAACTTTTCGCGACAGTTTTATATTGAAATGGAGTTGGAGATGAATGATGAAAGTAGCTGTCGGTGAGCTTACCAAATTCGAAATCAGCGTTTTGATCCATATGTTGATATCTGGTAATGAATGATATCGTCAAGACGCTGTTAAACCTATTTCTATAGTGCACTTAGTTTTGGGTTATTTTACTTCACGTGTAATTCCGTTCCTAGCCAAAATAGATGTTCAAGTCAATTGCTATTAATATTTTCTATAATCTTCTATATATTCTCCTGGCGGAAATAAACCGAACACCTTGTTTTCTTTATTATTCTTCCATGCTATCGTGGTTTGATTTGAAATTTATGCTATAGATACACTCTTAGTTGGTCAACATACTCTAACGATTTCAGCGTTCTAAGACGAGAGTTGGCTGAGAAACGCACAGAGATGAAATATGCACTTAAATGTCTTTGTAAAGAAAATCGGCTTTTCTCTGTCTGCCATACCCTTAACTATTAACGCACGAATCAAATTCCATAGGTTTTCTAAGTATTTTGCGAAGAAACTGATCCAAAATGTGCGTATTAGTACAAAGAAAATCGTGAGTACTTCGATTTATACACGAAAAAGTAATATTATTGGGAATAGAGAAGCATAAAGTTAATTAGAAAAAGCCGATTTCCTTTACAAAGACATTTAAGTGCATATTTCATCTCTGTGCGTTTCTCAGCCAACTCTCGTCTTAGAACGCTGAAATCTTTAGAGTATGTTGATCAACTGAGAGTGTATCTATAGTATAAATTTCAAATCAAACCACGATAGCAGAGAAGAATAATAAAGAAAACAAGGCGTTCGATTTATTTCCGCCAGGAGGATATATGAAGAAAGGTTGCCTATACGTGTTTTTCGTCCATATAATATTTGAGATCACCAAACTTTCCACGATGCTTTCCTAAACCTACAGAGAAAAGTAGACATGGGTTTGGCTTCTCAGATTTCGGTTGGGCGTAACTCTACCAAGTCTAACGTGATTACCATGACTCTAGCACTAAAAACGGGAAATCGTGCAAAACCTTATGTTCAAATGAATTTCCGCCGATAAAAATATGGTCATTCCATTTAGAATTAAATTCTGCGTCGAAAAGACTCGTCTTTATCTACGGGAATTTGCCTTCACAAAATTCTAAGTTTCGTCGTGCAACATTCACACTAATGTATATTAATAATTTCAAAATAAAACTTTATTGATTTCATACATCCGGATACTTTTTTTTCCAAGTACAAATAACATCTACGAAGACGAAACGTGTGTAAAAATATTTTCATACTTATTCTGTTCATCGATTGCCAGTTAGTTAAGTATAACAAAAGTAAAAAACAAACGTCACTCACCTGAACACTTCCACCAGAAAACAATTTCATTCAAAAATCAAAATTATTTTGCATCCACAGAAGGATATGCTTTTTTTCTTGTTCTTGAGTTGTATTGGTCAGAATAGATCGAGACAAAGGTAAATGCGCTTTAGCAATGCATATTTCGTTTCTTGTATTGAAAGGCAACGCTTGAATACTTTCTTTAACATTCTTGTAGATATGAGACGTGAGAAACATTGATAGAAAGGTATGCTTTTGTTCTTATTCTTGAGTTTTATTGATCAGAATAGATCGAGACAAAGGTAAATGCGCTTTAGCAATGCATATTTCGTTTCTTGTATTGAAAGACAACGCTTGAATACTTTCTTTAACATTCTTGTAGATATGAGACGTGAGAAACATTGATAGAAAGGTATGCTTTTGTTCTTATTCTTCAGCTGTATTGAACAGAATAGATCGAGGCAAAGGTAAATGCGCTTTAGCAATGCATATCTTGTTTCTCGTATCAGTGGAAGGTCGTATGAAAAAAGTGTTTGAATGTTTGTGGGTGTCAGAGTCAAAGTGCAAGATATATTCGTATTATCGAAACTTGATGAAACATGTTCTAGGGCGAGAGTTAAGGAGGGTGAGGGTGAAAACTTTTATGATTGGAACCGATGGAGCTAGTGGAGTTTGATTGGAACCTACACTCAAACGAATCCGCTCAAGAAAAAGTCGAATCCTGCACAAAGATGTCCTACGTTTTTAAACCCCATTCTAACGCAAGTGTAACTAGTATCAAACGTACTCGGACGCATCTTTGTAGGAAGTAGCACCTGAATGCGTTGACAAAGGTTACTGAAATGCGTTTAGACATAGTATAAACCATTTGAGATGCAATTCAAGGCGTTTACTTTTAGTAGCTTAGGCTAACTTCCATTCCAAAACTACTGAATCTGTCTTTTTAAATATCAAAACAGTTTTCTTTATGTAAAGACTTTCAGCTACAAAATATTTTATCAGAAATTGAATAGTTAGATAGAAATCATCATTGTTAAGTATTGAAAAGATATTCGTAAGGACCAATTGATATCTGTTCTTGAGGCAAAACGTCTTAAATCAGTTCAAAAAGTCATCGGTTATAAATAGCTACCTCACCCGAATCTCATTCAGTATTTTTTATTTTAAATGAAATTTCAGATATAAATAGAGAAAGAGTAAAATGTCGATTCGTTCGAAATTGTATGAGATTATTAAAGGAACGTACGACGATGGTTTGTATTTGCTTCGAAACGACATAAAATAAATATCATTGTCTTCATCTTTATATATAAGTTCAAGCGTCCAATCAGATACATACTGTTTTCTATACTGATATGTTTCGAGCAAGTATAACTTAGTGGTGCATGTTTAAGACTACTGATCGATGGTTCGTATGCACGAAGGATTGACTGGACGTCATACTATTGAGAACGGGTTATTTGTATGTAGGATATCTTGGACACGGATTCGACCTTTTCTGGAACGGATTCGCACACGAGTGTATTCCAACTCTGATCACATTCGTTCCAAGTAGAAGGGTGGATGGGTGAACATTTTTTATGATTGGAATCGATAGAGCTCGTCGATTTGTATCTGGAACAGGTGCTGGAACAGTAGTTGCAAGTGAAGAAACGAATCCGTGCTTGTTTTTTTGAAATTTTCATGTTTTTGTAGGCTTTTTTGCGATTTTTTGCATCTTTTATGGGGAAGGAAGAATATTTCCTGGAATATTGATTTTGGAATAGATAGAGCTCATTGAGTTCTACTTGGAACGAATGTGATCAGAGTTGGGATACACTCATGTGCGAATCCGTGTCCAAGATATGTTACATGTTATTTGTGTGCTTTTTCTAGATATAAATTATTGATGTTCGCAGTTGATTGCCTTTGATTACATATTCAATATGTAACATTAGCGTTTCTGAAGTGTTCCGTTAACCCAACTAAGTTCTTCCATTTTATCTATTTCTCATATGCATAATCAGTATTTGTACAAAAATAGTTCAAGAAAGCACTTTTTGTGGCATTGTATTTCTTTGCAATCGAAAGTTTACGTCACTTTCAAGACAACTAATTCGTGAGTTTCGATACACAAAGGTACCTATGTACTCATATAAGTCGATTGCGACGTGTAGAGATAACCCGAAATGAGCTTTTTGAATTTTTCTGAAGGGAGGAGGGGTCCGACGGACCTCACAACAATCACGAATCACAAAAATGAGGACAAATACGAAGGGTTAACCCACATGTTTCCGCAAATTTTCGTTTCTGCATGGAACGTCTTTTAAGAAAGCGGCTTTCAAGAAGAACACCTCTATATTAAAATGAACATCTTTCGTTTTACGATGAAAACTGTTTCTCAAAAGTCTTTTATATTGATGGCTGTTGATAATAACGAATCCAGTCGATTTCCATTCGACATGGAAAGATACTGTCATCAATATCGTTGCCACCCCTAAGAACAAAGCAAATCATCCTTGTTTCTCATAATTGAAAAAAATCGACTCACCATATGCCACCAATGGCGAGAAAGAGTAAAACATAAAATGGTTTATCAAATGGCCTAAAATAAAGAATGTAAAAAGATTTATTTGAGAAAAGGATAATACCATCTAGTCCAATCTCCCCCCAGTTTAGGCCAAAAGAGAATTCGTGTTTTAAATGGATCATCATCATCACCAACAAACATTTCCAATTGATGGACATTCCACTCAAGTGTATAAACTTTAAAATCTGTGGTTACGTCAGGAATAGTAACCTTATTAATTGGCTGATTATCCACTAACCAATTATAAGATTTTGTATTAATCGCTGCTTCAACGTTCTGAGGATCATTACCATGATGTAACATTAAATCTATGTTACCATTATCGGGCCAATATTCTCGACCGTACGTTTTGTTCACTGGAAACTAATTTTATTTGTTAAGAAAAAGATTGATTATCCGTAGTCAAACGTGGAAATTTACCAATAGAAAAACTGAATATAGGCCACGACCTTTCGGAAGTAAAGCACGCACTTGTAAGCGACCATAGGTCCATGATTTTTTACTCTTCAAGCGAGCCGAAGTAAAATTATTTTTATCATAGGTTTCCTGATAAAAATAAGGCTTTTATTGGCCTTCAACATTCCAGATCTTACTTTGTGAGCCTCTATGATCAAACGACCATTTTGACTTCCTGGAAAATTCTCACAACGAGCGTTTTGTGCTCGGTTTTGTGTATAGTATTGTTTTTCATGATGATCTAAATTCAAAAAGCAAATAAGGAAAATGAAAAGCATTATATAAAGTTACATACTCCATCCATTGCCACCCACATCGAAATCCCATTTATTTTGATCAACAGTGCCTTCTGAATTGAATTCATCTTCCCATAAACGATCCAATTGCATTTCAGCTAATTCTACAAGATATAATGCACGCATCAACAGTAAATATTCCTTCATATTTTTAGTTCAAGTAGCAATTAAATATATTAATACTTTTATCCCTCGAATCGAGGAAAGGGTGAGGGTGACGAAACATAATCATTTACATTTTGGGCACGGTCAACCATTGTTTGAAAGAATATATTTATTGAAAACGATTTACTTATTAACTCACCCTTGGGCTTTGTTTGGATATTGCGGTTGCCAGATTGTACTTGAGCTTTTACAAACAAGCCTAGTGCCACAAACAAAGCGACCACAATGCATAGTCCAATAAAGATAACGTTTGTTCTTTTCTTTATTTTATCTTGAAGACCTACTGTTGGTTCACCTAAAAATCCAGAGACATATCTTACATATGGCTTCAAACGTATTGGCTTTTACTCGTAAAGAAAGAAAAATGACTAATGCAATGCATCCACAACTTAAATACTACTTCTAATTGAAAAACCAGAATTGAGAACATTGGAAAAACACTACTTACAGAATCACGTCTATCGTCAACCAACTGATAATAATTGTGATTACAAGTTAAATACAAAATTTACGCCTGATTATTCCTTTAGTAACCATTGGCGGGAAGAATTCATGAATATCATGAGCTCATTATCGTATCTGATTCATTAGACTATTTATATAGAAGAAGTTATACAGCACTATACTTAATATTGTGGGACTTCTCCATTACGGATCTCACGACATGGGATCCGATCAGATTCGAGTACAGGATTTGTCGACCTGGGAAAAAAAGATCGAGAAATTCTTTATTACAGCCTTTACCGAAACTAGATTTGATGTCCGTTGAAAGTCATCCCAGTCTTTAGACTCATAATGTCCCGGCAATCGCTATAAGGAACTAAATTTCTGAATAGGTTGGAATAACTATTCTTTGAAAAGCTTTATGTACGACCTTCTGAAAATTTTTGATCATATAGTCAAACATGTCTGGCAAATGAAAGAGATTCTCAACTGCGAATGATAAGGATTTATTTTGATGATATTACTTACTATCCTGTATTTCATTATTTATTTGATCATTATCTTGGCATTCTTCTAAATCAATTTCGACTAACATTGGCGAAAACACATTTCGACAATTTTCATTTCTATCTTTGACTTGAAATACAGAAAATGGTAATATTAATACTTCTTCTTCGCTCGGAATCATTGATATCTCTTCGATATCAATACTTGTTTGACTCTGTTTAGTTGTATATTTTAATAAAACAGGTATTTCCTCCAAATCACGATAATCAGAAATGTTTCCTAAATGTTCACTTCCGGCAAATAGTTTAGCAATTGAACGATCTTTCGATGTTGATACAAATGATCGATTCAATATATGGTTTCCAATACTATAACATTCTAAATCATCTTTCTTGATTAACAACCCACGATACGTAATACCAGTGTATCTATACTTATGTATATCGGGATGATTAGTTAATAATGTAACAATATGTGCTAAACAATTAATCAAACGATATTTGCTTTTTAAAGAAGAATACGCTTGTGAATCAAAGTAATGCAAGATATACAAAGCCAGATGTTTATTTAAAATTCGATGAAAACTATTGGTTAACGTATAGGCTTTGATAAAATAAATTAAATAATTGTTTTGTTCAATACCTTGTTTGAAATAAAACTCTAATTTATTGATTTCATTTTTGGAAACCTTTTCTTGTTCAACTAAATATTCTTTTAAATAATATTCGATGATTTCAATTAATAACTTCGTTATTAAATGATGGTGATTACTGTAAGTTTTATATAAATCAATTTGTTGACGAAATTCTTTCGCTTTGTTTATTAGATTATCACCACTTAATGACCATTCAATATGATCATTTTCCGGAATTTTTTGTTCGGAATTAGGCGAATTCATAGTTTGTGTTAATAAGTTTCTTATTTCGTCGACTTCTGATTGAAAATCCAATGCTGGTTGAGATGAAGTATTTTTCAGCACTCTCCACGCAGTATTTGATAAGAAAAATTGAGCAACTTCATTGTATCCATTGTAACTAGCAAAACGTAATGCAACGTTACCATAAGAACTCATTCGATTTATTATTCTAAAATTATCTTTCAATTGAGAATATTTTTCAATTTGATCGTATTTTCTGACATCCAGCAAGCCCTGTTTTACTTCCACTGCTTGATCACTGTTGTCTTCCATCCGAATTATAACTCAATATTATGTTGTCTGATGAAAATTGATTTTGCGTTGAAATGCTACGATGTAAAGCCTAAAACAGATGAATTTTAAATAGGATTTAGTAACAGTAATCGATCGTGTATAGTACGATAGACTAAGAATGACATTTTGAATCATGTAATCCGTTTAATTCAAATAATTTTCGATGTATTTATCTTGATACAATGGATCGAATTTTTATCTTTATTTTGTCCGCCGTGATGAGTAAAAGGTCACACTCTCAAGGCTACGCGTGTGGGGTGGTGGGAAGAAAAAAATCATTCCAAGAAATGAAATCGAAAACTCTTGTCTCCTCGAATAAGGTGGAACTTGAATTTTTTGTCCGACTATATCTCAGTGTCGACCTTGAAACTTGAATTTAATTGAAATCGATATTTAAGCTCTACATGTATGGCTCTAACAAAATGTTCGATAAATAGACTTAAAGAATGGGGTTGTGTGTCGATAATTGGAATCATTATTTGGATATTTTCAGATATGTTGATATAAAGTGTTAGTAGGAGCAGAGGAAACAATGGAGAAAAGAATATCTATTGAAAACAATTTGTAATTCTGTGATCGTGACAGATGTGAGGTAAACTAGTGTTGTTAAAAGTATTTTATTATAGCGACACGTGAAGTAGGATCACATGACAGAATAAGAAAATCGCTTTTTTGCACTATCACGCTGTGTAATAAAATATGCCGTCGTCATTACTTATAGGTACCGCTATATATCAGATACAAAGATGAAACAAGTGAAAAAGACGCGTTGCTTTTCTTTTGAAAGTCGTCAATCAGATATAAGTACGGGAGAAAAGGAGAGTCATATGAAAAAAAGTCTGTCTGTTTGTTTGTTTGTGTCAGGATAGATGTTGGTACGGGATGCGTGGCGGGGTCAAAAGAACGCTGTAGAAGATGAGTTCAAAGGCACACGAAACATTCGTTAAAGACAGTTCTCTATCTGATGCAGAAAAGATCAGATAAAAGAAATTGGTCACCTGTATGACTTTTTGAGGGCTGCGTGAGTACGAGTACAAACTTTATTGGGAATGTAATTATATCTGGAAGTTTCGAATATAAGGATCCGCATACTATTACATAGGTATGTACTCGGTCAAAAACCTTAGAACTGGTGGTGTACATTGTAATGTACTCATATATTGTATTCAGACGAGGGTAACCAGTAAAAAACTGTTAGATTGTACTAGATTAAAGCATATTATAACTGGATTTTTCTGCAACAAAAGCAAGATTATAATCGATTAAAACATTCAAAAAAGACGACAATTCGACTTTATTAAAAATAATTTGTTGAAATAATTATTTTCTATTAAAACCATATAAAATCAGGAATATATGGTTTATAAATTGGTAATAAATGATTTTAATCAAATGAAAGTATCGTCTTTTTTGAATACTTTAATTGATTATAATCGTGCTTTTGTTTTAGAAAAATCCGGCTATAATATGCTTTAATCCAGTACAATCTAACAATTTTTTACTGGGTACCCTCGTCTGAATACATATTAGTTATTATATGATTATGTGTATCACAAGTTCTTGGATATTTGTGGGTCTTTTGGGAAGCTTTAGATGTGGGTGTGGAACACCTCCACTGACCTCCCGGATGATAGGGGACGTTTTGTTTTGACTCTTGTGTTTGCTAGTGGTACGGCCTCACCCTCATTTGGCGATTGCGTGTGCTGTGAGTTCTCCTTTTCTTTGTATTATCTTCAATGAGGGCATATTATGTAGTATGTGGAATAGAGAATAGTATCTGTTGATGTGTGTACATTTTGTATCGTTACTGACGCAACTGTGATATACACGTTATCAGTGTGATATTTGTAACGTTGGACTTTGTGTGATCAGTTGTTTTGAAGACTATCATACTTTAAAACACTTCTAAATACTTCTATATACAATAAAGGTTATTTCAGACCTTTTTGGCACGAAAAATAAAAGATTCCTCTTTAAAAAACCGTAACCAAAAGGTTAATTTTATTAAAATATCATTCATCGTCTGTGATTAATCTTTTTTTCTTTCTAAAATTGAGTAAACTTTCTAAATCAAATATGCTTTTTCAAATTTTATTTTCATAATTTGATCAATCATTAGTTGAAAATCTCTGCAATAAGAAATAAAAGCAATAGTGTGAAATTTCTATTCTTTAGTTAAGCACAGGCAATCCATGATGCAGATGCATTATTAACTGCTGTATTAGCCCAAGCTTTAATTTGAAGATTGAAACCAAGGTCAGTAATGTGTTCAGCAGTAACACCAATAGCTGTATTTCCACTAAAATCTTAAACAAAACAGACATACAATGATTCGATTTCGATAATAACTTACTATCATAACGATTTAATGCAACAAGAACGTTTGGTGTGTGTGTGTGTAAATTTACGTGGAAAAGTAACATGAAAAGTGAACGTTTTTCCTCTACAACCATCAGGGCATTGTTGAATCGAAACTGGTCCGCCGATTTGACTTAAAATAAGTTTAGTAGATTTACAATCATTATACTTTCTTACATTGACCTTGACAATTAACGATCATAATGAATAAGTAAATCGAAATGAATAACGAAAAACTCATCGTTAGATTTCACAAAAAAATCAAATCAAGAAAATGATTCCGATGAATTTATATATAAATGCAATAGCACTTGATATTAAACAGACATTTGTGAGAAACTGTTAAAAAAGATCAAATTATGCATAAAACTATTGATATTTTTTCAAGTATTTTTAATAGTCATAAATAGATCAATAAAATATTTTTCTATTCTCTTTACCAAAGTCAATAGAATCCTGTTGATTTTTTATGGAATCTAAGTGAATTTCTGGTATTAGACAATATCATCAGATCCTGCAACAGCAACCGTCAAAATTCAATATGAACAGATCCCAATCGATACAAACCGTATATGGCAACAGTCCAACAAAACAATTTGATTGAAACACAAACATACAGTGTCTGATCATATCATCTACTATACAGATCTACAAATAAAACTCTCAATCACAGCACGAGTCAGATTTTGAACCACACTATAGGGTGAGAGTGTGAGGGTGGGTGTGAATGAGAGTGCCATCAAAATAGTCTTAAGGACTTCTACTGTAAAAAAATAGTTGAGTTCATGCTAAAATTGCATCACAAAATAATTCGAAATTTTTGTGAAATATCTGTAGCTAGTTTTACTAGGGTCTCCAGCACACCGATTTCCCAGAGAGATACTTGATGTTTAGAATATCGTCATTTATTTATAAAGACATCATGTTCACTCACATCAACATCCATCACACCCTCAAGATGATAATACAAGTACAAGAAATCCAAAGATATTTTTATGCTATCTTTGTTTAAAAAAAATAAATGATCGATTGATGATAAAGGATTTTGATTTATTCTGATTTTATTGAAATTGATTAGATTGAAATAAACCTCATTTAATCAAAAGCTTGAAAAAGTTATTATTGAATATTACATTTTAGCATGAAAAGAATGAGTGTACGAAACATTTCTTTTTTACTTTGGAGAGACTTTTTCTCTTGGATCTTTCCAACTTTTACCTAACACACGATGATAAAAAGGTAGATTAAACTCTCTCCTCTTTCTCTTAGGCATTAACAAAAGAAGCGACAACATTTTCTATCGGTGTGAAACTAGCACGAAGAAGCTAGCACGCACAAACGATATGTTAGCTAAAAACTTTTTTACTAACTATGTCCCGTCCATGAAAACTACACCGTTCGACTCAGAATTTAATTCTGCATCGAATGGTGGTACTTTTATTCACCGGACAAACTTTGGAAAATTTTCTATCTATATCTTTGTTCGTTTCCTTTATGTCTATTTATAATCCAGATATAATTTTTCCAAAGTTTGTCCGGTGAATAAAAGTACCACCATTCGATGCAGAATTAAATTCTGAGTCGAACGGTGTAGTTTTCATGGACGGGACATAGTTAGNTATTTTTACTAAGTTTGTCCCGTGAATAAAAGTGCCACCATTCGATGCAGAATTAAATTCTGAGTCGAACAGTGTAGTTTTCATGGACGGGCCGTACTTAGTAAAAACGTTTTTAACTAACATATCGTTTGTTCGTGCTAGCTTCACACTGATACATTTTTTCTTTCGTCGATTTATGCAGGTATTTGTATAACTGATAACATTTAATTGCTCACAACTGTGACGATTTCTGATGGAAGAGATGCGTATCCCGATGGAATCATGTCTTTCTTTATTTCTTCCTATCATCAATCGCATCGATCTAATACAGAACACACGTTTATATACCCTTCTCTCGACAGAAAGGAAGGAGGGATAAGGCCAAAGTACATAAAAGTCCACCGAAGTACGGACTAATAACATGCGTACAGCGCATGCTAAAAAGATCGTCACAACAACATGACTCTTTGTTAGTGTTTGATAAAACAAGTAACGCTCATCCTTTGGATTCGCTGACCCTTTTCTGAAAGACTTTTCCGGATGCTGAACACATTCAGAGACTTCGAAAGAGAAAAAACGCACTACTATTGCTACTAGTGCCCAACTGAATCATGGCGCTATGTCACACACTACAATAAATAGGATGCAAAAGTCTTTTTAGGAATCAGACCGATTAGCCATTTGTCAGTGGATAATTCTCCAGCACTAACTACGTTGACTGAAAAATTCATCGGTCAACGGTTAGTCAGACGGCCACTCACGGCCAACCATTGACCTTTGTCATCTGTTTTTCTTTTTTCATATCACGCGCATGGAAATTTTCATAACTGCTTTACTAAGCCACTCATAGATGGATGATATACAGTAGACTACTTGAAAAGTTTGAACATTCGCCTGTGTCTTCCAGCGATAAACCGGTTCTTTTCTCTCCTGTCAATAAAATGATACCTTGTCGAATATTTTCATTGGGGAATATCCATTCGTCAAATCCCTTTCAAAACTATATGAAGCCTGGCAAGGTTATTCTAAGCGTACACTTTAGGATTAATCTAGCATTTAAACGCCTAGTCGTTCGTCGACCTCCCTCCGGTCGGCCACTCACGACTAGCCGTTGCCATGCTGTCTCTGGTATTCCTTTCGCCTTCGATCGACTTTCAAACTGAACGATTGGGTTTTCTTTTATTGTCGCTTCGACAGTCATGATCTTCTATTCATTCGACTACCAAAAGAAACTAGATAAGAAATTCTTATTGTATGATTTGCTTCGAAGCGAACATCTTTCATAGCGCTGCATGTGTTCAGAATACTGTTTCTACAGTCCACGCGTTTGTAATTACTAAGATGGAATTCCACCGACGGGTATATCGCTTTGCGAACTACTTCTACTAAAGTCCCATGAAAAGATATGATGTATGTAGCCTACAAAGCAAAGATGATACGAAGCTCATATAACTTTTTCGGATTTCTTCAATTAGAAACATCATTATATACAGTGCATTAGATCTTTTCGCGTAAGTTCTTGAGCTACTATCTTTGTACACATGACGTCCGTGAATAGCGTTCAATTCACCATCTTCTACAAAAGATTTTAGAACAGATAAAGAAAAATATCTCCTTTGTAAAGAGGAAAGAACAAGCGCAGGCTCAGCTAATAAAACGAAGTTCACCCTCAAATTCGAATTTCCCGACGTCAAAAATCCTTCGGTCTACTCTGACAATGGATGTTAATAAGTCGTGACTAGTTAATGAAAAATTAATAATTAATCAATCAACCCTAACCTCGGATTCGTGATCCTCGACCTCGATTACCCTAGCGGTAATCATTTTCTAACAACTATCGATCAATTTCATTGATTTTAGAAATGCTGATTTCTGATTCGATAGGACAGACAGACAAACTTTAAGCTTTTTAACACAGCATTTAAACGCCGTATAACCCTTTCTTTCAGAAAAGGGAATAATCGATTCTGAAATCTGTCCATTATTTTCGTTATTTATAGCCATCGTCGATACACGAGTCTATATTTTTGTTTTTTCAACATTCGCTTTCTTTATTCTCCTAGAGAAAAGCATGACAGTGTATGACTACCGATGTTCCGATATTGGTATCTCCTATTGCCCTTTTAATAATACACCACGACATATTAATGTTTTGCAATCAAAAAGAAAGTGAGAGACAATATAGATGTTCCTGTACTATTGTTGTGTTACCATGCTGATGTACTCGTGCCCACAAATACAGATGAAAATGTATTCATAAAAACAAAAGAAATGAAATTTAAGCTCTGTACGTCGTTGACTAGTTGAAAGTTTTAATAGAGAGAATAAATTTAGCACTTGTATTGCTTTTCCCTCCGTTGAATATTACTTCTCGTGGTTTTCTTCAAGTTTGTATGCGCAGCTTCTTTTTCTGTCGCGAGTTTTCACCCAATTCTGAGCAAAGAAAAAGATTTTTAATTTCAATAAAATTATTTTAGAATTTATTTCGATCGATTCTTGTTGATTTTTAAGTTGAGAAACGATATTTATCATTTATAATCAAACTAGAATCGTTTTTTTGTTATTATGTGGAGTGAAGTTTAAGACATCAAGTTGGCTTCTATAGACAATTCTATGTATTTTCTTTTCTTTTCTGCTTTTTATCGATAAAAATATTGCCGAGAAGCATTATTTTTTTTTAGAAGAATCGACGAGAAAAAATATATGAGCTAAGTCGACATTTTTTTGTTGATGGGCTGTCAACTGGGAATTTTCCAACTGGTACAGTAGACGATGCCAAAGAAAAAGTATATTATACCGAGTGTATTCTGCATCGTGTATTGTAATGAAAGTGTTCATACAAACATTTTTCAGACATCATATACGTTAATCAAAAAGCATCAATATTGAACCAGTTCTTTTTAGTGCTTTAGATAAGTATTATTCAATGAGTCTTATCAAAATATCCTCACAAATGCTCGATGAGTACCGCATCGATGCAAAAGCTGGAATTGCGATTAATGCTGCAATCGGAGTAATTACAGCACTCTTCAAAAAACGCCCTGTTCCTGAAAGCAAGTTCAGGAAAATGGTTAATACTCTTATCAAAAACTATGATGAATATCCTGTAGCTATGAATTCATTAGGTATTGCACTCAGCATTTACTTTTTATTGGATTCCAATAATGATCGGAAAGAAGAAAGAAAGTTTCAAGATCGAGTGATAGATACATTCAGAAACTATCCGCCGAACTTATGGGAACAGCGTCTAGCTGAGATTCGAACCGATGTTGAAAGTTTGAAAAGTCGACAGTTGACTATGGGAGCCATCAAACTTTTCATGTCCGCTTCCTTTGGTTACTATGCCTATGCAGGTACTCTGAGTACTCTGGGACGTACCGTTACAGCCCTTTATTCAGTTGCCAGTGGAACAGCTGCTCTAATCAATGGAGTCAATTACTACAATTTACACGAGCTCGTTAGACGACTTCAAAGAGATGGCCGTTTGAATTAAGTTTTCCTTCACATATATTGACTGCTATTAGTCATCCATCCCTTTTTAATTTCCTTCCTTTCAATAATTGAAACTCTGCACTCTCACATTTTTATTCGTTGGCACACCCAATATAACACATATTATATCGTTTACCGAAAATAAAAATTGAAATTCGAATAAAAAATAAAGTAATTTCTTCTTAATCGTATCTTTACTACATTTAAGAAAAAGAATCTCAAAAACAGAAATCAATCTGCTATTTGTTGACGTACTTGTACTGCGCAAATACATCTCTCTATTCTTTTACTATAACCATCCCGCGAAAGTGCACTGCTACAAACCATGTTACCTGTATTATAGTCAACATGTTGCTTAGTGATTTACTGACGTCTCTTCTAATATGCATTATTTCTTGCAAAAGAAAAATAAATTTACAAGCTGTTTTCATTCTTCATATTTTTCTTTCTCGGCAGAGAGAACGTCACTCTGCCTTTCTCTTTTATTTTGCTGGTATTTTTGCAGCTGAATCACATGCATGGCAAGTGCCAGCGTTAACAAAGATCGCATCCCGACTGAACGCTTTCTCGATCTCGTTGATGAACCACTTGATGATTTAGCCCCAATCAAAGGTTATGAAAATGCTGACTTGGTCTCTCTACAAGACTCGATCGAACCGATCGAGCATCTACTTGACAATGTTGCAGCTGATATTTGGATTGCAAGAAGAAAATGCAAGACGCTACTTGACGGTTTGACCATCGATGAACGTGCAGCTATCTACTTGTACAGTATGGATTCACTTTATCGACAACTAAATGCTGCTCTTCGCGATCAGAATCGTGAAAAACTGATCCCTTGGTTCTTGTATCTAAAGTTATATCTAACAGCACTTTGGAAGTTACCCGATGAGAGAGGAACGATATGGCGCGGAGTTAAAGCTGATCTTAGTAACCAATTTAAAGAACGTGAAACATTCATTTGGTGGGGGTTTAGTTCGTGCACCACTTCACTCCAGCAGGCTGAATTATTTCTTGGTAAAACAGGAAAACGAACACTATTCAACATTGATTCTTTACACGGCAAGTTAATTCAAAATCATTCCCATCATCCAAACGAACGTGAAGTTCTGCTCTTACCATGCAGTTATTTTCAAGTCTTGGGTTGCATTGATCAAGGTCATGGTTTACGTATCATTCATATACGGCAACTTGACCCGCCAGTAGCATTGATACGACCACCGTTTAGTACACGTGTAGGAAACCAGCAAGTCTTGCATACAACAAGCAAACATAAATCACAGAAATCTGACACCGTTCTTTCTGCAAATACAAAATGTGAATCTTCTACTTATGGAACGCAAACTTTATACGTTTTGAAAGAAAAACCAAGATTACGGCTGCGTATTGATGGATACAGAGATGTCATAACTGCCAATGAGAAATATTTGATATATTGCCTCGAAAATGAGTTTTGTGTTGTCGATCAATATGCACGAGAAAAACTGAAGATTGGACATGATTTTAATCGTATACACGATATGTGTTGGTCATCGTTTCTTAATCGATTTCTTATTTTGGTTGGACAAAACCTGTATGCATTGTACGTTGATAATATTGATCATCCAATTAGAATCATGATGGAGTTTTCTGAAATGAAGTATTCTTGCACATGTTATGAAGATACCTTTCTTGTAAATAGTGTAGACAAACCGATTATCGAGGAATATAACATGTCCAACTGGAAGTTATACAAAACATTCAAAGCACCTATTCTGTGTGATGTCGACGACGAAATCTTGGAAATAAGATTCAATAGTGATGGTACACGTCTCGGTGCTTTGATTAAGCATCGCGAGAGAAAAAACGTTCCATGTATGTTCTCATTTCAGTTACACAATCCGTATGACAAAATGAAAATACTTCAAACCGTGAATCTTAGTCAAGAATTCACTGGTGGCCTCCTTGCTTTGCCAAAACAACAGTTTCTCATTAGTTTCATGTTTCAAGGTAAATTCTATTTAATTGATTCAAGTGGTCGACATACAGAGACAATCGAATACGAAGCGGAAAGAATTAGTGCAGCGACGTTGATGAATCAAAATTGTCTTGTGATATATACAGATTTAGATTTACTTCGATTTTATGATTTATGAAATAAATATGAGGGCACAAAGAAGGTTGAGGTCTTTTATCTCATCTAATCCATACCTTGTAAATGAAAGAAAGGAGCGAAGGTGATGTTTTGTTTTTCTGTTATTGGGCGTTAACAAGTTGGATGATTGAAGATTGACTCATTGTTGTTCTGTTTACTAAAATATAGTTGTATTTACACGAATAACATTGTCCTTGAAGAATCAGCATGATCGTATACCTATTTAAAGTGCTTGACTTTTGCACTTCAACTGACAAAGCAATGATTGCAAAGAAACCAACAACGACAATGTGGATTTTCATCATGGTTGTTCTCTATTTGAAAGGAATTCATGGGGATTTGTTTCGGTATGTCCAAGACATGAAACAATAATTTACATATTTTAGTTTTTTCAGAATTCATATTAATCGATTTCGGCCACAATTGTATAAAAGCACAAATTGTACAACATCGAGCACAAATAAGACGGTATGTCGAATGTTATCACGTACTTTTGGAAACATACTGGTTGAAAAATCTTCGATCTATGAACTTTTAGTCAACGAAGCTGATGTAAGTTTCTCTCGATGGAATATTCTACAATATGTCAATGTTGATATTGATAGACTTACTTTATCGGAACGATTTACATTGGTACACCCGGTCAAACATTTTTTATTAATTTTGATACAGGCTCATCGGATCTCTGGGTTCCATCGAATCAATGTTCTTCCAATTGCGGTATGTTGTTGCTACTTCTTAGATGATAAAAATATCCTGTTGAATATTTAAGCCCGTTTTCACAAGTATGTTGCAGCTGATTCTTTAACATATGTCTCAAATGGAGATTCCTTTTCAATTACATATGGAGATGGCTCTTCTGCTAATGGATATTACAGTATCGATAGTGTAACAGTAAGTTCTAACAATCAGTTTGGTTGATATGAACTGATTATTGTTTAGATTAATGGTATTACTGTAGAAAGACAAAGATTTGCTGAATGTACGTCCATTTCTGGTTTGAGTAATGATCTATTTGATGGTATTCTCGGTCTTGCTTATCCATCGATGACAAGTGATGGTGAACAGCCGCTTTTCTACAACATGTGGTCCCAAGGTCTTGTACCACAGCCAATCTTTTCGTTTTACTTGAATCCGTAATTACACTCATTATTTCATATCAACATTTGATGGTTAATTTCTTTAGTGATACAAATGCCGGCACGAGTGGTGAACTCATATTTGGTGGTGTTGATTCTAGTAAATTTACCGGTATGATTACTTATGTTCCTGTTGTCATTGCAGGATATTGGGAATTTCAAATGACAAGGTAATTTAATAATAAAACAAGTTCCTTTATTCTGTAACCATTTGTAGCGTGAGTGTTGGATCTACACTGATTAGTTCATCAACGTACGCTATTGCTGATACAGGCACAACATTCATAACTGGACCTTCAGCATCAGTAGCAGCACTAAATAGTGCTCTAGGTGCTACTTATGATTCGACTAGTGGAATGGTATGACTCGATCTTTAGTTCTACTCGTAACATACTTTCTTTTAGTATACTGTCGATTGTTCATCGAATCCACTATCATCATTTCCAAATGTCACTTTCAATATTGGTGATACAATATTTACATTGACGCCGTCGCAATATTTATTGATTTATGGTGATACATCAAGTAATTACATATGTTATAGTGCTTTCACCTCGTTAGATCAACGCGACTCGTATGGTAATAGTTTCTGGATCTTAGGTGATTATTTTCTCTATCGATATTACGCAATCTTTGATATCGTCAACAATCAAGTCGGTTTCGCTCAATCGATTTCATATAATTCATATTTTTGAAATAAATTTAACTTTACCGTACTTCATACTTTTGCTTTCGTACGAGAGATTTGCACAGAACGTACGATCGTTGTATAATCAATCGAGTTAACTCAGAAAAAAATAAATAATATAAATGAGATCTCAAAAAAGGGTTTTCTCAGCGTAATTAACAGTTAGAAACGGTGCTCATCCAACTAGATAAAGTATCAAATCCGATAGTAATTGTATTAACATTCGTCGTTATTCGTCCAATGAGAATTCTATTTGATATAATATCAATTAAAATTGGCAGATTATTATTAACTGGAAGATAAAAGAAACCAATAGGACTACCACCGGGTAGATAACAATTGGCGAAGTCACATACTTGATTGCTAAAATCCCATTGAATAATTATCACATGGAAATAAAAGAATTGCATAGACATAGAATATTGTTGGATAAATTATGCAAAAGGAAAGTAGAAAATGATTATAATAGATTTATCTATGACAGTTTTCAAGAAGGAGCACACGTGACATAAAACAAAATAAACTTTCTTATTCACAAATATGTTGCTATTTAAGGAACCTCTTGCGATCTTTTCAAAAAAAGTATGTCATGTCGATATTCATTAAATCAGATGAAAGATATCACTTACAACATGATACGATCTTCCTTTGATAGTAATCAAATTTGCAAATGGTTTGACAATTTTCGGTGACGATGTGTTTCTCTGACAACATAATAATTAGTTCTACATCAGTGGTGTCCTTGTCGTGAATTCGATTGGAAAAGAGACAAAAATTTCTTCAAAATATTGATATTCAGATAGTGAATATTATGATTACAAGTTCAGGACTTCTACAATATTTGAGAATCTATTTAAGCATTTAGCAATAGAAAACATGGATAAGGCTCCCATGTACCATATTCTGCTATGGTATCGTTTACATCAATACAACTGTTTAAATCGAAAATACTTCATATGTAACAATATGCTCAATTTATTTGTTTTCAAAAAGATAAAACTTTTTAAAAGACATTATCCAAGATTTTTCTCTTTCATCGTAATTTTTGTCCTTCTGTCTCGTTTCATTTGTCACTGTCATTATATTGGTAACGTCAACCAAACACTCTTCCATACATTTCGTTTATGCATGAACAAAATGTCAACTAGATTGAAATAGAAAGCAAAAAAAAACATAATCTTTTCCTCGTATTTAAGGAAAAGAATAAAAATTGTTCTTTTAATTCTCACATTTTCCAAATGACATCGTCTGTTGAGAACAATATATCGTCATCTTCAGAGGATAAATTCGTAGAACCATTACGTTTCTGGATTTTTCTTCTGCTTGACATTCCTGCAATTGCGTGTTCCATCTTCGCACTCTATCACATCTTTAAACAGCGGAAACTACGAGAAAGTCTGTATAACCATACCATAATACTTATACTTTCTTTTAATACGGTCTATCAACTGATCGATATTCCATTACATATACAATATTTTCGAACAGGTGCTGTTCGTCCAACTTCAACAGCAATTTGTCTCATTTGGTGGTTTATTGACTATGGCTTCTTTTTCATTGATCTCGTTTTACTCATGTGGACATCATTTGAACGACATCTTCTAATCTTTCACAAATCATTGGTAGATAATCGTGGAAAACGTTTGCTCGTGCATTATCTGCCATTATTTGTGCTAGTTATTTCGATGCTTTGTTTCTATATCATAGTCATTTTTGCACCACCGTGTCACAATACCTTCAACTTTTCACAGAATTACTGTGGTACACCTGGATGTTACCATTCGATCCCGATTTTGGCCATGATAGAACGAATTGGTTTTGCTATAGTACCAACGTTTCTTATCACTATTTTGAGCGTAGCATTGTTCGCACGCATTATTTGGCAAAAGCATCGAGTTCAACGAAATGTGGAATGGCGAAAGCAACGGAAAATAACTATCAATACCATTCTTATGTCATCAACATATTTATGTTTTGACTTACCACTGTCCATTATCGACATTGTTCATTTAAGTGGTTCAACTGATTGGGCTAATGATGCATTGCCAGCACTCTACTATCTCTCGTATTTTCCCATTATGTTATTACCGTTCGTATGTCTTGGCTCCATACCCGAGTTGCGCAACAAAATAAAAATACTCAATTTACAACAAAGAACACACATTACGCCAACAGTGGCACACACATAAGTACAAATGTGGCGCAATTAGGCTGAAGAAAAACAAAAAATGAGATTTCTAGTGCCAACAATGTTCTATTCGTATGCCTTTTTAAATAGAACTGCCTTGTCATAAGACAGTTTTGATTAAAACTCGTATAAATGAGACAAATTCAACGGACTGTTAATATTCATGAGTTTGGTTGTCATATCACATTTTCCTTCGCGAATCATAATGACTAATTAAAGGCGTAGTGTTATATAAATTTTTTTTTCTACTTCCTTTGCTTTGAATGACGTATAGTCAATGACGAAACGCGGGAAGGAAAACGATGAATCAGATATAACAACTGATCTTGTATTTATCGTTTTTTTTCATTGAATATTTCAAAACGGTGTGAGTGGTGTCGTATTATAAGTACATATACATAATTGGGCGTCAATGACTACGAGTATCGTCTCTACCTGACAAACGATACAGTCACATGGTTTTTTCGCCTTTTCTTCGTGAAAGAAGTATGCAATGAAACTTTAATAATTTTAGATTTCAAATGTTTTCTCAATATATGAGAAATCGGAATCGAATTTTCGATCCATTCGAATCAGGTCGGAATATATTCCTTCAACTTGTTATTCGTTTCTATTCTTTCCGATGCCATTTTATTGTCATTCCTCTCGTGATTATATACGCTGCAGTTCATCTCGGCCTTGCCATACATTATTTTGGTCAATGTCCAATGCAACCAATGATACCGATTTATATGATTGTTCATGCAGCAGTTCATCTCGGACTGATTGTTTTTGCTTTAATTGGAGTCATTGTAGTTCAATGTATTTATTCGTTTCATGAGACGATCGGCATTGTGCTTCTTGTTCTTGTTCTTGTGTTACACACTATTTTAGGTATATTTAGCTTTGCTTGGCTAATTGCAGGTTCAGTTTGGATATTTGGAGCAAAAGCGGATGGTGTTCAAGGAAGTAATCCGGATATAACGAGTACTTATTGTCAATCGCATTTATATAAAGCAGCATTTACTCTTTTGATTATCAATTATATCGCACATGGTCTTTTTGCAATCGCTATTATTGCAATCTGTGTATGGGGAATGAATAGAAAAGTAAATCGCTCCAGGATGGGTATGAATATGATGAACTATGGAGTTTAAAATTGATTTTCTCAAGAGAGAATAAATTATTGTCAAATGTCAGAACGAAAAAGCAACAGAATCAGTTCTTACAAAGTTTTACTTCTCTCTTTTTTTTCATTCTTATTCACTATGAAAAGGTTCAATTCCAACAGAAAATACCTTATTGAAATTTACCCAACGTCAATATAAAAAAAGTGTATCGATTACTATCAAATTACTAGTGAAATATTGTTTGTCAATTGAAGTGTTTCTTTGACTTTGTCTGATATTCTATTGTGAGACAAATTGATTCTCTCTAACGTTTTGTTATTCTCTAAGAATGATATTAATAATTGAGTATGCACATCAGTTATTTGATTTCCTTCGAAATCCAATTGTTTCAATGTTGAATGTGTCTCGAATAAATTGTATATTATTTGAAAATCAGTTATTTGACAATGCCACATTCGTAAATCAATCAATGTTTCGTTATTAATTAGACCATTGAAGATTATTTTCATTCCGTTATCTTCAATTGGATTTCCTCCTATATCCAATTGCTTCAATGTTCGGTTGTGTTCTAAGAATTGTGCTAAATGAATACAACCATGTTGATTAATTCGATTGCAACATATATTCAAATATTGTAGTTGAATTTGATCGTTGAGTAGATATTTCATTCCTAAATTACTCAGTGCGTTGACACCCAAATGTAGTGATTGTAAATGATGATTAAACATTAAGATTTTCGATAAGTCTTGTGCAGCATCTGAAGAGAGTTTGGTATTGTATAAGTTTAAGGTGATTAACTTGCGATTTTTCTGTAATGGATGAGTAAGAAGTGAACAACCGAAGTTTCCAATTGAATTGTAACTTAAATTGAGTTCGATAAGAGTGGAATTTGCTTGTAAAACTTGAGCAATGATTTTGATTTTTTCTTTTGTTAAACTCGTTTTCGATAAATTCAGAATTGTTACATCTTCGGTCAAACGTTCGTTTAAATTAAATTTGAAGAAATCCATCGAGCATTTTCTTCCGGACAAATCAAGAATATGATTCGAACAGAAATGTATTGCTTTCGACATTTTTCTAATTCGATTGGCGGCATGTTTAAAAGTTTTTCGTGATTTGATTTTCTTCACTGATGACAAAACTTGTTCTCTCGATTCACTTTGCGTCATATTCGATGATATAGGTTGAAAAATTTCATTTGAAGATGGTGGAATCTCTCGGATGAAGATCGTAGTTAAATCATCTAACAGAGGAAGTTGTCCGATCACTTGAAAATGAAAACCCGGCATTAATATTACTTCATCTTCATCAGAGAATGGAACTTGTTTTCCGCTGTAACATTCGATCTTGAATAAAGTACGTAGACCAGATTTGCCTAAGTAGTGAGGTAGTTTTATTTGATCGATCGATCGTAAACAAGTAGTGAATGTCCACCATGTATAGATTTCATTATCTTTGTATTGAGAAGATAAATTACATGAACGAACACCGCTGTATACGATCGAATGAGGTTCTATTGGCAATAGTTTATTCAGAGATGTGAATAATAAGTTTAAATATGGAGTCCACGTGCGAAATTCGTCGGTAAATCCACGGCGAATTGTTTCATTAATAAGATAAGAAATGCTTGTTGTGAATGGTGATCGTTCCCAAATGTATAAGTGAATCGCGGATAATTCATCTAAGGTTAATTCATAGAGATCATTGACGATTAATTGTTGTTTAATTAGGTAGAGTTTAGTAGCAACGTCATCAACTAGATGTTCGAATGGTTTGATAGTTTCTTCGATTATTAACAAAGGTGAATTGAGAATTGATGAGAAATACGATTTATCTTCAGTGTCAGCATAAGGAATATCAAAATAACGGGAATCGTTTGTGTCATCATCATCTTCAACGTCGCCAAAAATATTTTCTGCTGTTGCCATTTTTTTCTCGGAACAATTACTGAACCACAATTCAACAGAAATGTCTATCGACATCAAAGCTAGAACTAATTAATCATGCAACACTTCTATTTTATTCATAAACAAAAGAATTATTCGTATGACTATATCCTCGACAAGAACAATAGTAGTCATGCAATATTCTGTGTTATTTCAGGTTCAGATTAAATTTTCTCAAGTTAATCTTTACAAGAAACCAAATACATCAATCATTTTGTAGAGTTTTTAGAAATAACAGTTCAATGGATAAGTGTCGGTATGAATATTTCACCTTTAGCAAGGATTCACGTATTCAATTTGCATCAATTAACACCAGGAATTAAATCGATTCCATTCTTGTACCTTGCAGAACTGAGCTGATCGACTGATTTTAACAATAAATGGCCAAAGTTCGAATGTAATATTTGCTTTCACAAGTACAGCCCTAATCGCACATTCCGAATGACTTGCCCGTGATCCACAAATATGACGTGGTAAATTCTGTGTATATGCTACATTCATATAAGGATCTGCTAACGAACGTGGTATTATGGCAAACATATCCGATAAGCCATAATTTTTGTTGTCACATGGTGCTTGATGATCAGACCATGTTTGTGTATATCCAGATGGGATATCTTCTGAACATTCGTAATATGGATTGATTAAGATTCGATCGTGTGGTAAAAGATTTACTGTTGGTAAATCTTTTGGAATAATCAAATCTGGTCGCGTTCGAACGATAAAATCATATCGGAATCGATTTGCTTTTTCGACTGTTTCAATATAGTCTAAACAACGTTTCCATTTCGCATAACCAAATGCGTCATTTACAGCACCTAATGTATCATTAATAGAAATCCATTCAAGTTTTTTCGGGGAAAGATAATTGATTGCAGTTTGATATTGATCGTCCGCATATGCATTTATTGTTACACCATGAGACACTTCAGTTGTTTTCATACGTTGAAGAATAAGGAAAAGATCGCCGGGAAGAATATTCAATGCTTGTCGACGATATGAAACATAAACTTCTTCTTTATAAAGAGTTCGAGGAACCCCTGTCATACAATGAGCTATACGATATTTCTTTATTAAAATCTGATTCGTTGAGTAGATTCTATAATGATATGTAAGTACACATGGAATAATTAAGAGAAATATGAGAGGAAATCGATTTGCTCGAAATCTATCGGAAACGTTTTTTGACAATGAAATAATCTTGGATTTTATTGAAGAATGATCATCTATTTTACCATGTAATAGAAGTTCGCCCATTACTGTATTCTTCTAGTTCAAAAATACAAACTTTGAAAATCGTTAACTAGTAGATTAATGAGGTTTATTTCTCAGATTGTCGAGTATGGTTTGTGGAGCTGATGAAAAAGTATCAAATAAGTTAGAGTAACAATACCATGCTACTTCTTTTAAATACACAATTTACATACAAGAAACAATTGCAATTAGCATATGAGTGAAAAAAGGAACGGGATCTTTTTTGGCGTCGGATGTTTTTTTTTGAGACGTTTGTAAAATTTACTACGCACTTTTTTCACCGAAACATTTTTTACGTCCGGAAAACCTTTTTTTATATATGAAAAAGTTGTAAGTGGCACTAATGGGCTTGTTCACTTCGTTGCCATTTTCTCTTTGCTTCGCTATTATAGAGCCCCGAATACATTATAAACAATTCCTTTACGTTGCATGAGGAAAGGAAATTTTCCTTCTTAAAATAAAACAGAATATTGAGTTTTTCTTTTTCTTTGGCAATCGATATAATATGTCTGTTACAGGCATGTTCACAACATACCTTCACATCATTCTTCATCTGTTTTTCTCTTACTATTCTTCTACATTCTTCTTTGTTCTGTTTTCGAATAAGCATATTGAGTTTCGTCTCTCAAGCGAAGACAACGCTAATAATGACACACTTCTCGAAGGACGTCTTTTTTGTCATTTTCCAAGAATCTGACATAGTAAAAACAATTTCTATTTATTTGCTGTAACTATGAACCTCATCGGAGAGCCGGCGAGAAAATTTCAGGGGGAGCAATAAAAAATTTTTCAGTTATTATTACCACGGATATTCGTTTTTTCTGAGGCGAAAAAATTTATTCTCCTTTCAAAAATTTTTCAGGGGGGAGGCAATTGCCCCCTCTGGCCCGCCGATGCTATGAGCAATGAGAAAATTAAATCTTATGCAAAAATCTCGCGAGGGAAAGTACCGATGTGCAAATAGGATAGTAGAGAATTAAACCAAACTGACGTCTTCGTCGTAATTAGATCTGCATGACGTATGAAAAGGCAATAATGGATTGAGAACTTTAGCGTTTTCTGCTCAAAATATGGAATTTTCACAATATGAGATAAGACTATACGGAAGAAAACATTCGAAGATGAGTTTTCTTGAAAACAATTTAACATTATCAGTCACAATTTCATTTTACTTGTCCCACTTGATCTGAATATTACATAAGCAAAGAGCAAATCGATTTCTCACTCTGGAAACGAAATAATTTGATCTAGAAAAATATCGACAAAATTATATTCCTAACTTATGGTTTCACATGATCTGTCGCATCACCGATTAATTGATAGCTTTGATACTGATGTAAATCGATAAGCATAACACAATGGTGACTTTTACTCATTCTTTTTTTAATAGATATTTCATCAACTTATATTATTTTCATGATCACACCCCCAAATGCAACAGTAGTGTTATGATAAAAATCAGAAGAAAAATTTTCTTGCGATGAACATGACTTTTAATAATATTTATTCAGCTAGATGAGTCCCTTTCATCAGTTGATGAATACCAACAGAAACTCGATTCGGTTAGTCTATATTCACGTTTATGAATCGTTCTGTTGCGTTTGAGTTTGCACGAGTTTGCCGCTATGCCATATTATCTATTCAGCTTTGATTTCAATGCTATAAAAATAAGTCATCAAGGATCATAGACCCATATGTTCTTTATTAATTTTAAAGACACATTGTTTGCATTAATTTATTTTAACATACTGAATAGAAATAGTTCAAAAATTCACAATGTGTTGAGGAAAGGAATGATAGAAATAATGAATAATTGAACTTGAATTGCAAAAAATGAAACTGATTGCACGTACACCATTTATTTGAATAGAAGAAGTTGCTTGACTTCGGTTCGAAACGTTTTCGATACGAACAAATGTGTGTAACAATTCAGACAGTATGGAATATAATTTACATAGAAGCAGACATTTCGAATTACTTGTTCCAATTGAGTTTGCTCTGAGCTTTTTGTATTGTATTGTGTTATTTGTTGATACATTAAGAAAACTCCAAGGAATACAGTAAAACAAACAAAGCCAGCGATATCCACTAGCAGCAGTAATAGAAGTTGTCGATCTTTTGAACGAGAACGTGATCCTCCAGTATTCGTTGCAGACTGATTGTGTATTGAAGTCGGAACAGTGCGTACTTTTTGTAAAGCTCTAACATTATGAATTGCCCATGATCCAAATATTGCCAATAATATCGGCACTGAAACTGCTTTGATTAGAATATAATAACCTACAAACGCTACGTATGTACCCGGTTGATAGTAACAGACGATTCGAACAGATGTCAATGCTATCATATTTGTAAAAAAGACTGTATGAAGTTGTAATGGTATGCAAATTAATATTCCGACAATGATGGAAAGCACAGCTAAACGACAAGTACTTTTGTTTCTTGTCAAAGTATTCGACGATGTTATTCGAACACGATCAATTGATGCCAGAATCAGAAAATAACTTGTTAATAATTCACTTATATATGAAATATAGATCCGACTTCGACAATATGTTAAATTCATTGTGCCGAGATCGGTTTCAAAACCAATGGATATGATTCCATTTAAAAATGATGAGTACAGAAATAAGAAAGTAGCTATGTTGAATGCAATAAGATAGATTGAACAGGGATTTTTTCGTAAAATCTTTTTACTGAATATAATGATATTGATCAGACAACTGATACCACCCAAAGTCAATAATATTAGACCACCGATTTGATAAATATCCTTTTGTATAGTTTTCAACCAAGTAATATAGCCAAGCGAAGATGATGATTGAGAGGACATTTGATAGAAGTAAAGTATTTAATATGACGTGCAGCAATCTCAATTAAGTTGTTGAATGCAGATGGAAAATAATAACTCTGCTGTAAAAGGTAACAACTTTTGATCTAATGAAAGTTGGAGGACAAACAGATTTCCCTCTCATTTTCTAGTCTGTTAATTAAAAATGAAGATAAAAAATAACTTATAAGGTCTGCTCTACGCACGCACGACAATTTGTAAAATCAAAGATTACTAAAAAAATTCTATTCTGATCGCTCTTTGGACACAAAAACGTTATTTTCTCCGTAGTTTATATAGGAAAAGAAATATCTACCCGAGATGTTTCTTTTTCTAGAATATAAAAAATCGACTTAGAATTCATTTTATCGCTATCAATACTGTAAAAGGTACCATTTAAAAATTTCTTGAATGGTACGATGTAGAAATGTGTCTAAGCGAAACTTTCTCATAGATACCTTGATAAAAACAAAGACAGGAGCATAATAACTTATATAAATGAAAAAATTAAGATAAATCTCTACTTACTTCTCTCAGATTAACGGATAATGAAAATGAAAAATGAAGTGTTCTTTAGCATCAAATTGACAGCTTGACACACGTTAATTAAAAACAAATTACATCTTTTTTTGGAAGCTGCCACCGCGCAGCCGGTCTTGTTTGTATACCGGCCGTTCACGGTGCGTCCACATGTTTGAAAAACTGACTATACTGTCTTGTCGAACAGACTCTACTCTTTGTTCTCATTTGTGAACTATATTAGTATCAGCGCTTGAAAGGAAGCTGAAATATCGTCGAAGGCGCTCGTGAGGAAACTGATTTTGTGACAAATTCAAACAAACTGCTGCGCTTTAATAAAAAAGGAAGATATCTGTTCTCTCAACTGATAGTTAATGCGAGCATCTTTATATGCGATTCACATATTTGTCCTTATCTATATGAAAAAAGAAATTTTCATCATCTAAAATTGTTGAACAAGTATCATGAGTACAGAGGTATAAGAAGTTTAGAGACATAGTGTTAGAGAGAATGAGAGATATTTTGTTAAAATTTATTGATGCAGAGTAGTGAAAATGAATCCATGAACAAAATTGACGATGGTTCATAGTCGTTTTCAAACGATAAACATATTTTCTTTGATTCTTTACATTGCTATAAATATATGATTCCCGTGGTATGACAATAAAAGAGTATATATACGTATATTACCATTCAAATATCGTTCGAGATGAATGCGTGTGTTGGAAATACAGCATTTTTCTATTGATTTTTCATATGCTCTACTAGAAATGATCAACGACAACAATAGATGAAGAACGTTTTACTATGTCTGTCATTCCATCGACGAATTATGACAAAAGGGCAAAAAAAGAGGAATATATTCTTGACTCAGACAATACCGCCAAATGCTAACTTTATTTAGTAACTAACAAACAATATCTTCGAATGTACGCCTACAGAACTGTGTCAATCAACAAATGCAAACGACTGAGGAGTGTTTTGAAAAAAAAAAGAGATCGTTTTATCCAACGGTGAGAAGTGATTTTGAATAAACCTTTTGAGACTATTCCAAATGGTATACGATCATATTCTCGTTTATATCTACTGGAAAACATCAAAAATTGTTTTTCTCAATTCAGTATACTTTCATTTTTATTGAATGTATGCTTTTTTTTGTCAGAAAAGAAGTGTTGTATTTCTCATGTTGAAATTACACCTAATACTGGCAAGACATTCATGAAACGTGCGAAAAATTGCATAAGAAGTTTTGAGATTATGACAAAGTGGAAATCCGTACTATTGTTTAATTCGAAGATTCTACTGTCACTACAAAAGCTAATGCTTCAAACAACTACTGTTCTCTGTCAGTTACAGAATAGTTAGATGGAAATTATCATTTATACATATTGAAAGATATTATCAACGATTATTTGATATCTGTTCTTCAAATCAAATCTCTTAAATTAGTTGAAGGTCATTGATTATCAATATCTGTCTGATCAGTATCTCATTCAGTATTTTTTTTATCGTAAATGAAATCTCAAATAGAAAATAGAAAAAGAAATAAAATCCAAATTAGTTTGAAATTGAATGAGATTATTGGAAGCAAGTGAGACGATGGCTTATTTTTCCTTCAAAATCACGTAAAATGAGTATCGTTATCCTCATGTGTATAAGTCTAAACGTGTATTCAGATACATATTCTTTTCTATACTGATATGTTTCGAGCAAGTATAGCTTAGTGGTGTATGTTCGAGACTTTCGATCGATGGCTGAAAGATTTTTAGCCTAATTTTGAAATTTAATGTGAACGCGTTCAGACGCTCCGATAGTTTCGCCGAGGACGCAGCTCAAATTGAGGTGCATTTAGATCCAAAAAATGTTTATATGGGATGTGTTTAATATTTTGATCAATGAAATGAACCAAAACAATCATATGTTATCGTCTAAATTTTAAATTTTTTCAACAAAAAAAAGAGAAGGAGCGGATAGTCAGATTCGATGTTGATAACATTTGCAAGACTATGAGATCAAATTCATTCATTGATGAATAATAAAAAACTTCTATTCGCATCGTTTATTATTCTTGTGTATTAAAAAACTAAACTGAAAGAAATTTTCCACATACGAAGGTCATTCTTTTAAAATAGAACAGGATATCACTGTCCTGATTTCTTCGTACGATGTTTTAAAAAGATGTACCAAAAGGTGCATCGATTTCTAATAAGTTACTGTTTTTCACGCTGCATAGTTTAGTGTCATCTGATTTTTTTTGAAGAAGGTGTTAAGTAATGGGAAAAAGCGTGCGAAACTCTGACTTCTCTTCGCTCCTGGAAGATTCTAATCGAGACAATATACTCTCAAGCCTTCGATATGTGAATGATGTATGAAGAGATATATAAACACAAAGTTTTCCTGTTGATCAGACGAAAAATACACCGATTTTTTTCTCTCTAATAATTTATGTTCTATTTTTGTGGCCTATAGATTACTTTTTTTAGCATGAGAACAGATTCGTAACTGTCAGTTGCATAAAAATCTTTACTTTAATTGTATCTGTGCGATGTTATTTATATCTATAGAATAGATCAGCTAATTTTCTGAAAATTCATTAATTATACAACTATTTTTATACAAAAAATTCATCAACGAACAACGAAGAACATATTATACCTTTGTAGGTATTTTAAAAATAAACCTCAATATGTCAAATCTGTCAGCCATACAAGGACGAAAGATGAGAAAATTTGACAATAAGCCGATTTACATGATTTTCTTTCATCAAATCTTCCGATCAAACTCAAGGTTTTTATGCCTTTTTATAATAAAAATAACTAGCGAAATATTTAATTTGTCTGCTGTGGAACTCGCTGTGCTGATGCTGTAAACCGTATTCGTTGTGGTTGTACTCGATTACTAAAACAATACAAATTCTTCAATTGTGCAGTAATTTCCGGCATACTCATTAAACAAACAAAAGGCATCAATAACGGTCCAAAGTAATTAAAATATGCGAATATATTCATATAGAAATCCAGAAGGAACGATGGATCGAACCAGAGCCGAATCAATGCAAAAACATTCACAGGTACATAAATGATCAGATAGACAAAAGAAATCGGTAGAAGTTGAATCACAAGCTTCCGCGTAGTACGCCACGTGCGTGCACGTTGCATTCGATATTTTTGATGACCTACACTTAGAATCAATACGACATTCGTTATAACAATGATCAAAACAGGCATCAGTGAACTGATAATCCAATCAATACTGCTGATTAGCCCTTGATATCCATAACACGCACCGGAACACCACAATTGACTGTAATCAAATTGTTGTTGACATGGATAGAAACAAATAAGAATGATATACCATAGAGTGAAAAATGCCGGTGGAAAGACAATAGGAAAGTAATGTTTGAATTTTGTATTAAGACGATATTTGTAAAAAATGAGAATATACCGTTGAATAGATGCCGTTACCATGATCCAGAAACTTGAACCAAATACAATGTAATTTGAAAAGATCCAAAGAAAACAGAGAGAATTCGATGGCGGAATGAATTCGTTATTATAAAGATAAGTAAGAGATATAGGTATTTCGGTTGTTGCAGTGAGAAAATTACTGATTAACAAACAAATGACACTAAAAAGTATATTTTTATCAATTTGACCGTGTTCTTTCGAGAAATTTACTCACACGTGATTGTGTTGTTTTGCTCGTAGTTCGGATAATCGAATGAAACAGAGAAATATCGACAAACTACAGACTACTGAAGGAATTTCCAGTGCTAACAAAATGCTGAATTTTAATCGTACTAAACCACTCGTTGTGAACGAATCAGCATTGTTATACTCTATGCTTTGACTCGTACTGTTGGACATTTCTCAACTCACAAATGAAAGAAAAGGTCTATCTCTTAATGGAAAAGCACAGGTTATGACGTTGTTTCTAATTAAAAATTCTAAATACAATCTTTTCTCAAGACGGATACTTAAGATTAAAAACAAAAGAACGTACACGGCAACTTACTTAAGTCTATTTGTTCTTCATAGTGCAATGGTAAAGAAAAACAAAATCCTTTGACATGTTGCTACAAAAATGTGTCAAAACGAAGAGAACTCGGTCTGATATACTGCGAAATAGTCCCGAACTCTATAACTGTCATGCAATTCTATTCTATGTGGGTGTTTCACCTGCTTTTGTCACACGCTCCCGAACGTGAATTTAAATATCGATGACAATTCAGATGTTTGTCAAGATTTTAGAAATAAATAAGGTCTTGTTCGATTCTTAACTGATGCAAATAATTTTATTCCTATAATCATATTATTTAAAGTTTCTGCGTTTCGGTTCGTGCCGTTCTCGTATAAGCCGGTCTTGGCATAATTCTGCCGAGTGTCGTTGTATGAGAAGTTCCCAAGGGTGGTGCATTTCCTTGTCCATGCCTCGGCTCTTGTTTGAAATTTCTTCGATTAAATTGAAGAAAGATAAACCAGATAAAGAAGTAAAATGAAACGACATCAGCGATAATCGAAGCATATTCATAACCGTGACTTTCAACACTGACAGACACAAATTCGAGTACAACAGATGCCGTTACAGTTGCGACAAAAATATGAAGAACCGCCTTGATCAGAAGACCATGAAAACGATCATAATCGCCGGTGAAGAAATCAAATAGAAGAAAAAACGCCACACTACTTCGACTGATCGTTTCTAAATGACTTATTCCATAGATGGATATGTAAATCGCCAAGATAATTTCAAGCTGAGAGATAAAATGAAAAAAATGTTTATTCCGGATTTGAACATTATGAAATTTGCCGCGAATAACACGATAGTAAATCAATCCACTCATATAAAGTGTACTGGCAATTATCCAAGCGATAAATACACCAATACCATAGTAATTTTCTTTATGAATGAATCCAATGAGATAACCAATATGTCCAGCGATGTGAAGGATCCATAAAACGACAAAGTACACAGTAAGGAGCGCTTTTTGTCGAATTGGAATACAAAATTGAATATATGCGAAGATAATCACAATAGTTGACAGTAAACCTTCAAAACGACCCGGATCTGTTTCCCTCAAAGCATGAACCATGAAAAAATATCCATCGAAGATGTATGCGCCTAATGCCAGCACAGAAAAAACTGCCATTTTGGCGGCGAACAGATATTTATAATAGTATTTTGTTTCATGCGTTATACGTCGAAAAAACATACTGATCAATGCGTATTCAATATGGTTTTCGAAAACAACTTATATATTACTTTGGATATAAATAATCCTCCATTAATTTACCTTTTTTTACGACAAAAATAGACAATAATTGACCGGAGGATATCCATGCATATTATTCAGTAAAATCTCCTTGACATTGATAATTCAACATACCGTATTATATACGCTGAATGTTTCATCACTGGTTTTAAACCAGATCCACACTAATCGAATCATGAGCAGATGAATTCGCGTATAGGTGTTGATACGCATTTTTTTTTATTAATGATGAAATTCACTTCAATCGATCAAGGATTTTCGTCAGTTATTGAATGGGGCGTCAAGTAAATCTCGTTCTGTTTATGTTATTATTACTCACACACATATGATAATCGAGTAAAATATCCATCCTTGACGTAGATAAACCAAGGATCATAATATTTTTTATGAAAAGAACGCAAAAAAGAAAGATTTATTCACGTCACCTACCTATTTTGTACATATAATTAGATTGATACAAAACAATACAGAACAAAATGTCCGATCATAATCCCCAACGTGGCGATCATCTTTACGCTTGGCGTAAGATTCGTTTGTATCAACACCATGGGATTGTTGTTACAAAAGAAGATCTTGAAAAATATCTTCCTTCGAAACTAATGCCCAAAAAAGTTGATCCATTGATGGTCATCGAACAGAATCTTCAAGGATTACGAATTGTTACATTAGGAGAATTTCGTCTAGAACATCCATTCAACTATGAACATCGAATCGGTTGTGCTCGGTATGGTATTGATGTGATGGAATATTACGTCAATCGACGTGGAACATGTTATTTAACTAAACGCTTAAGTGAAGATCAAGTCGTGAAAAATGCTATTCGAATTTATAGTGATGAAAAGCAACGAGATATGTGGAAAACGTATAGTCTCGTGTTGAAAAATTGTGAACAGTTTGCGTTTATGTGTTCGACGAATCTGGAACATGTTTTAGGTGAACAGGTTTTAATGGGTTGTAATATCGTTCGATCGATTTTTGTCAATGGAATGTACAGTGCTGTTGAATGTATTTTTCATATTGTAGAATGTAAGATTCGATGTTTCTAATATTCAACTTTCTCGATTTCCATTGGCGTTTCAGTACTTGCAAAACAAATGATTCGTGGAGTACCGATCAATATCATTATCAAAGGTAAAAGAAGTTGAAATCAATTTTCTCGTTAATTGTTCTGTTTTTGTCAGAAAATGCCTTAGCTGCGTTGACAGCGAGTGTATTGGAAACGTTGTTATTATCGGTTCGTTTGTTTGTTTATTACTATTATAAAGAAAAGCGAACGGAAAATTTAGCACGGAAATACGCAATTACTCCTCATGATTATATTCAACAGATGATTCAAGCTGGTCTCGGAAATTTATCAGCGTTTGGTTTATCAATTGCCGGAATGGTGGTTAAATCATCCGTGTTCGTCAGTGCTATGTCACCAACTGCTTTCTCGATTTTCTTTGGTTTTATTGGATATCTTGCCGCGAGATGGATTACTGGGTTGATTGCATTGAAAATCCGACGTATCAAAGCATCGTAAGTTTTGCCATTTAACCGAACAGTTCAGCGCATGTTTTCGTTCTCTAGACATAATCAGAAAGAAGAAACGATAAGTGTGGCTACTATCAAGCATGCGGTTCCGGAAATACATACTTGAAACTATTTTTACTGATAAATAAATATTTTTCAAGAAAACATCATGTTCTTTGTTTATCATGTTACATAAACTTTCCTCGATTTGAATCACGAAAGAACGAAAGGGAAAAAGTACATGATGTCATACTTCGTTCGAGAGTTTTGACTGCATATAAATTCCATGTAGAATGATGAATGTTTACAACAGACGTTTCGAATCAATCGTAATAAAGCGTTCTAATACACAATTAATTCGATTCAAAAGTGCGTTCATTTTTTCTACAGAAATATTTTTGAATTCTTTTATTCTATTTTCACAGGTTCATGAGCAACATTCCGACATATATAACATCAACAATCGATTCGATTTTTACAGCATATATTGGTTGTCATATTTTCCTGCAATATGAAAGAATTCTCAAGTATATCAACAGCATACGCGATGAATACGTCCGAAATAACAATAAAAGAGCATTTTTTGTACTTATACAAAAACTGCAAAATACAAATGCGCTCGAATTCAATTGTGAGTGTGAAATGTGGTACAACACACATCAAATACACTATAACATACTAGATGCGTTAATTTGTTACAGCAATATTCTTAATGGAAATCCAACATTTTCCAAAGAACCATTTAGGACTTTGGTTGATAATAGATTATTAAAAGTAGAAAGTGCCGAACAATTGTATAAATTTGCTTTAGAAGGACAAAAATTAATGAAAAGTAGATATACGATTATGCTTCACGAATTTCAACGAGATCATCACATCGATCGAGTCAATACTTGCCAACATTCAAATATCTTATTTCACAAACAACTATCTGAACCATAACTGAATGATTTTTATTTAATTGATCTGTAAATAATACTTATCTTTCAAGAAATCAGACTTCGAGCAATCGGTAAGGATGAAGGACTAATCTTAGTTTGTTCCTGTTTTGTTGGCACACCTGAGAAGAGAAGTACATAGAACTATGAGTCGAAAATTGATCAAAAACTCTCTTGTCGACGCTCCTATTCTTGGTACGCTTATCGTCGTAGTCAATACTACAGATATTTTATATGAAGGAGCATTCGGCTATCAATCACTCTCACTATTACGAATGATGGATATCAATGGATTCATATTTCTCCTTGCTTCAATCTGCAAATCACTCAGCATCGGTTGTTCATAATGACGAAATGGGACTCGCGATGATGTGAAGTGAGGACAATGGATTGATTGAAATATCATTGAAAGACACCTGTCATACGTTTTTGAATCACGATGCATCGAACTGGTTGTCACATCCACCGGGAGATGCAAATTTTTGCTCGAATGTAGATATTGCGTTGGTAGGTCTGTTCGTCGCGCGAGTTACAGGCATCTCCTATGAATATTGATCTGATAAAATCCGGCTTTTACTTCTCGGTTATTGAAGATAAAGACGATTTGGTGAGGCACTCTTTAGAGTGATGTTACTGATTTGCTCTACATTCTATTTTTCAACTTGAGTATCTACCCTACTGCTAAACTACGCATGTCTGCTCGATCGTTGTCTTTCTTTCTGAGAATATTCATGAACAACGGATCTTCTCCTTTGAATCCTCATTCAATATTGAAACGTGAACTGCAGTTAATGGTACTGTTTCGTATCAAAATGTGATTAGTGCCACAAACGATTCGTGATCTTTACCAACAACCTTTGGTCTAGAGGTTGGACTTGGCAAAATCGGACTGACGGTCGTCGATTCATTGGACATACAGGTACAATGTCAGGTGGATTCCATTCAACGTTCGTTAATAAACAAAACATTGTCGGAATAATTTTGTTGACAAATACCGATTAATATATATCCTGATAACGATATCTCATGGAAAAAAGTAGTGCAACGCTGATGAATACTGAAAGTTTACTTTTTGATTGATTCGAAGCTTAAAAGTTGAAAGAAAAAGAAGTCTATAGAATATTTCCCCATAATCAACTCAATCATTTATGTGTACACACACAACAGGGAGCTGTACATGATTATTGGAAGATCATGCTGAGTGGAACAAAGCGTTTGTATAGCCCACTTCCTCAAATGAAATGTATATAAAGAACTACGTATAAATGCCATATGCGTGTAGAGTACCTGATAAAGCAGTCAAGAAGACATTTGCAACGACTATGTTCTTTTTCCTTCTACTAATATTCATTGGTGATCACAGCGCAGCAAGTAATTTTGCTAGCAACATTATATGGAATGAAGGGTGTCAACGCGCAGATATTATAAATTGGGGTTACCCTGAACGATTTTTTATCAGTGCTGGAACGGAGTATAATAGTGGTTGTGGCCAAGAAATGACTCGAGCTCTACTTTACTTTAATGAAATCAATGATATTCCTCAAAATGTGACCATTCATTCTGTCAAATTGAAACTTTTCGGAGTTATTAATGATACGTCTGATCCACACAATTGGATGGGTTTTAACAGTGCACGTCCAAACGATTTGTGGGTACGACGAATTACGTCTCCGTGGAACTCTAATACAACAAACTGGAACAATCAACCGAGTACGACCGCATTCAATGCTGCAACAATTCCAGGTATCACCTCATGGATCGAATACAATCCAGTAATTGATGTTACAGCCTTAGTTAGAAATATGCTTGTGCCCGGCCAATTGAACTACGGTTTCATGTTTCAATTGAAAACAGAACAGCCGTACCGAGCAATGACATTCTACTCATTTAGTAATGCACAAATACAACTACGACCAAAACTCGAGATTATCACAGGTTGGACGAGCACTAGTACAACGAGTACAACCACCACTTCGACGACCACTACGAAAAAGACCAACACATCAAGCAGAAGTGAAAAGGACTGTTTGAAAGTGTATGCTATTTCTATACTGATTATCTTCTTTATTATACAATAAATAAAAACAAATCAGCCAATTTCACGAAGCAATCTTTGCCGGAAATCCTTCGAGAGATTTTTTCATTCTCCATTTTCTACGTTCATCAACAATTAACCAAAACATTCCGAAACCTAACGTTGACATCACGTATTTCACAGGGACAGGACCAGTCTTGATATGGCCATCGCAACTCAAACCATCCGGTTCTTACCTTTTCCACAGAATGGGTTGTGCTGTAAAATCGATGTATATCTTGTCCGTGTTGCGAAATAATTTAAAAAATTGAAACAAGCACGCCGAACAATAGCAAACAGACTGGACGACATACATCATCGTGATTAAATCGTCTTTTGAATATGGAGTTTGAGGATCCGCTCCGAATTTTTCATAGGTGAACATAAGTGGATAGAGTGAAAAATAATTATCAAGCCAATAGTAACAAATACAGAAAAATCCAGTGAAACATGATATTTCCCACGAAAAAATAAGCATAAACGAGTAATTTCCAATTTAGCAGATGATCTTTCGTACGAATTAATGGTTTTTCTATTACCATGGTGAATGACATGAAAACATATGAAAAAGCAATACTTTACAGAAAAGTCATTCCTATTGTAAATCAAGTTTACTATTTATCATGCAAAACACTGTCGCTAAGAACGCTGATAGAGGCAACGGCATTCCGAACCATACGTTGAAAAATACAGGCCAAATTTGTGATCACGCGCCTAGAACAAATAAATCCAGCATAGATTTGATCAAAAATGCATATAGTTCACCTTCGGGTAAAAGATACGCCGCAACATTCGACCAGTTTCAATCGCTTTGATAACTGGTGCAAAATCATTATCTAGTAGAATCATATCGTCTGCTTCTTTCGAAACTCCCGTTCTCGATTCTATGACTACCCTGCGATTTCCATATTTCAATGCCGGTGCATCGTTTGTTCCATCTCCGGTCACAGTAACAATTTCTGCACATTTTTAAAGTTCTTCGACAATGCATAACTTTTGTTCAGGTGAACTTCGTGCAAAAACAAATTCTTGATATGATAAAACTCAATCACATAGATAATCATCGAGATGACTCAGATCACTCCCGGTCCGAACGATCTCATATGAAATATATTTCAATTTCGTTGTTGGATCGATGGTTTTGATAGAATCTTTAGATTGATTTCGACATGAAAAGCAGCACGGTGTCGATGCTTCATCATCGAATCATTTTCGACTTCGATCGTGTTGATTCCGTTGTCAACAATAATTTCTGAAGAAAGAATAGTCACTTGTTTTGCAATCGCTTTCGCTGTTGTTGGATGATCACCAGTGACCATGGCGATACGAATTTGAGTTTGTCGAGCTTTCAACACTGCACGCGGAACTTCATCTCGCGGTGGATCAAGTAACGAGAAAAGTCCGAGGAAACAATAGTTTTCACTCGGAAATCCATCAAGATCTTCCGACGATTGATTAGCTCCTTCGTATTCCTCTTGACTTAGCTTTTGTTGACGCATGGCAATAACCCGATAACCGTTTTCATCTAGTTTTTCTTGACAATTACCTAAAACTTGTTTCATTTCATCATCTAATGTTGCCACCTGATTTTCATTGGTTTTATATGTTGAATAACGATGTCCGGTGCGCCTTTCATAATGATTAACACCGAAGATTCGACTTGATTCGCGGTGATCATGAATTTGATCGATGAATTGAGTGGTAAAACATGTAAACGAGCATTTTTCTTCCGAGTTTCTTCGATAGTCTTTAAACACAGGTGATAAAGAGCAACATCAGCTGCGTCACCAACGGCTTCACTTTCGGATTCGTTTTTGCCTTGAACCGTTTGCTTTTCAGCATTGTTACAAAGTGTGGCACAGATTACGAGATCTTGAACAATTTCATTCGACTTTTTCTCATAATTTTCTTCTTTATTCCATAAGAGCTGTGTCAATGTATCAGTTCCGTCCGTTGCAATGATAGAAACTGAATTAAATGTATCAACGATCTGTAAACTCTTCACCAACACACATTGTCGATGCATCTGTTTCGTCACAGTTGTTAGAACTAAAGCAAAAAATTATGTTTCTCATTCAACATGCGACAAGCTTTACCGAGTGTAACTACAGACGGTAAACCCATTGGTAGAAACCCAACGATCATTCCAATTGAATTGATAATATTTTCATTATAAGAAATAAATCCGCAATGAGATTGATTTAACCAGGCACTCTACGTCATCCACACAACCACGATCGCAGTTAACATTGCCCGCGGTACCACAAATAGGACAAAACGATTCACTTCTCGATGTAGACGAGTGATTCTGTCAGTAGAACGTCCTCGTGTGAATTATGACATTTTATTGAGAACTGTATCATCACCAATGGCGATAACAACTGCTTGGCTAATTCCTTGTTCCACTGTTGTCGACTAAAATCTGACGTTTGGTAGTATATTCAGTCGTGATATGATATCAGTTTTGATTCACCGGTCATTCTGAGGTATTGATCTAGAAATTTTTCGTATAGATTCGAAAAGGAATTTGTCAATTACTTTCAAATCATCACATGAGATAAATCGACAATCCGTCGGTAGTCTTTCTCCCATTTTAATTGTAATAATGTCACCCGGAACAATCACTTTGACATCGATTTGTTGTTCCTCTCCATCACGTCGAACAGTCGCCATCGTTGACAATAAATTCGAGAATGAACTCACAATCTTGATGGATTTCAACTGCTGATAAACATTCAAAGTCGAATTGCAAGTTACAAACAGCGAATAGAACGATTCCCAACGCTAAATTTGTTATTGACGATTCTGGTTCACCAAATGATTTGTATGCAAGAAATGCAAGAATGCCTGCTAACAAAAGAATACAATTAATTTCCATAAACACAATTCTTTGAACAAGAGCCAAATGTAGTTCGGTTTTTTCGCCGGTGTTAATTTGTTATCACCATATTGATCACGAGCATCGGAGATTGTTTTCGAAGCTAAACCGTTTTGTGGATCGGTATGAAAACGTTCCTGTAAACTTCTTCGATCAGAATCAGATTTATCAGTATTAACTCATAAATCAACAGTTGAGTCTTGTTGAGCATTGGATTCTCGACGTGGTTGATCGCCGTCATCTTCTTCTAAACTTTTACTGTCATGATGATCAAAAGGTGAACTAGTAAAAGTATGCCATGGGTACACAAAGAGTAACGCCTTTTTATATGAACTGAATGAAGCGAATAGATTTTTCACACGAGTCATTCAGTTGAAATGTATTTTCCCACTCAGTGAACAGAATAATAAAATTTTTGTACCTTTCACAGCATCGATCAATGATAATGTTATAGCTGATCGAGTACTATCGAATCACATTGTCAATGTGTAAATTCAGTCGACCGATCTAGTTGACTGATAAAAAATAACATTGAAATACGATATCTTTTATTGGTTAGAAAAGATCAACGCCAGAAATTCACACGATCATGTTTAGTATTTATAGCGAACTGATTTAATAAGCTTCCTTGATCAATTTTTTTCTTCAGTTGTTCTAAGTATTTCACATCAACAACTGTCATGGAGATGAATACTAAACATGGATTCTCTGCATGATGTCTACGCGTCAGTAATCGTGCTACATTTGCAGTATGCATACAACGACTGTTGATCTCGAAACGTTGTACTCGACGACATAAATTCAACAATAGTTCGACTTCATCCATATCTATTGCCCGTCTGAGTATCACATTTTTAACAGTATTTGTAGTGGAGACTGATCGAAATTTTTCACTATCTTGAAGTGATTGGTGACGATTTGCACCTATAGAAACTCTTGAAAGTTCTAATGTTTCAAGATTCACTGTCAATGATAACAATTCAATCAATTTTTCGAGTTGACGATAAGAAAAACTAACACGTAAATGTAATTTAGTAAGATTTTTCAATGAAATCATATGATGTAAACTATCGATGAGCCCATCTGAATTACATCGATTAATATCACCAAGACTGAGTACACGGCAATTTGGAAAATAGTACTTACAATTGTCCATTGCTTCTTCATTGAGAATATAAATGTGACGAACGGCATTTTCATTTCTTTTCACCCCATCATCGAAATCCGTTTCTTCATTCGTTCTGTATCTTAATATATACTCTTTTCGTCTTCAAAACAAAAGTCAATACAAAAGATTTCTTTTGATTCAGAAAAAAGTGCATTACCTATAAGGCCGTGTCGAATAAAATGTGGTTTCATAATAACCACGTTTATCATTGTAGTGATCTTGATGCTCAAAACACCATCCTCGTTGTAGCCAGAACGAAGATTTAAACTCATCAAATTCTGATCGAAACGGTTGGTTAATTTTCACAGACATGTAAATACCAAAAACACATAAACATGGCATTGAAGATGAGATTAGATCTTCCCATCGTTTAGCGTTCAGATACTCATTGTTATTGACATACGAAACATATAAAACTTTAATTGAGCGAAACAAAGCTTTTATCAACAGTTCAAAATCATGGAACTTAACACAGCTTAGCTGGGCGTACAAATGTGTTAGATTGATTAATGAAACTGGTCGCTCCCATTCTTTCGTACCAGACGCAGACAAATTATGAAGTGATAAACGGCGAAGTTGTGGAACATATGATAATAACCTCTGCATTTCATTGAAAGATATATTGTGTTTAATAACTAGTTGTTCAATACGACTGAAATCACCGGTAGCCATCGGTAAGTCTTCACTCGTATGATGAAAAGAACTGTGCAAAGATAGTTTACAGTATTTCAATGCTCGTAAACGAAATATTTGTAGAAGATCATGGTTAACATCTTTAACAGAATCACAGGTGATGATCACTAATGACGAAAGACTTGACAAAGAAGCAATGTCACGAAGAATATTCTCGATATATTTAGCATCGATGTTGTCAAGAATAAGTGTTTCTAATCGAATAAATGATGCTAAAATACGATGTGGTGAAATCTGAAGATCATAACTGACTCGTTTGGTTATGCATAGAGAAGTTATTCGCGATTGACATGGTAGAATCAAATTTGTGTAATAATCTTCAAAGTTTGCTCTTGTCATAGTTAATAGATTGATTTTCATTGGAAGATGCGAACAAGTGGCAAGTTTTCGAAACCGTGTATTAAGATTGTTAAACGCTTGATAAATATGGAAATGATCAAGAAATTCGAATATTTCATAAATAATTTCGTTCGAAAGATCTTCAAACTGTGTGACATTTTTCTTTGATGAACTATATAAAAACACTTGAAATGTAGAGATGTCAAAAGAAAATTTGTTAACGAACCGAGTGGTACGCGATGTGTTCACTATAGGAAATGTTAAAGGACGACAAATTCAATTATGTGAATGTAAGTATACCTTTTCTTGTTCGCCGCTTTGTATCATCATGATTGGTAATACTGTCACTTCGTATTCTCTTTCTTCTTTCCATCGTGAGTGACGTGAAAAGAAAATTCGATAAATATTTATATGCAGCATAAAACGTAATGCAGAACAACAGAACTGGAAAAAAAATACCGATTGTTTCAGGATGATGATGAAATAACATGTATAAATAGTATTTGCGTGAGATAAACATCGTTTAATAAAACTTTGCCCAAAAAGTCTCACCGTCACGAATTTCATAAATACTGTTGTAGTTCTATAGAAAAGCCATTGATTTATTTTTCCACTCTAATCGAATAGATTTTGCTGTCAAGAATAAACAATAATCAAAAATAAAACACTATCGTCATAGATACACGTGATTGTTTTCAATAAAGTACAACTTTGGTGTAGACAACCTTTTTACCAACAATTCGTACGTTTGTCACCAATTTTTGCTTATGAAAAGCTTTTCATTCTTTATAATGGTTGTCATTATATTACACCTATTTGAGATTTTTTTCCTCTACTGGTATAGTTGATCAAGTAATTGTGTTCCAACTGAACGATCAGTTTGTTGGCCATAATTAAAGCTAGATGAGCTCTATCGATTTTAAACCTTGAGTGTCAGTTCTGGACAAATGGGCACGTAAATCTGATGTTCTCATTCATCATCGAACTTGTTGTTGCCTCACTGATCATTCATTCTTGCAACTATGTGTCATATCAATGTAATGTAATGTAATTCAACCATAAGTTTGTAACTCAGTGTAACTCAACTTTTATTTCGTACGTCATGCAGAGAAAAACTAATACAAAAAAGACTGAACAATTCTCAAAACTAAGTTTTTTGTCAAGTAGAAAGTTCATCGAAACCAACGTTTATGATCAGCTTTTGTTTCACTTTCGATTTCGAAAACGCCTCTTGAGCCAACACACAATCCACAAGCAAACTACCGAAATGGCAGGATAGATGACAAATTTCCGCACATTACGACACAAAGCATTGTAGTCTAGTTGTTGAATAATAAAAAGTGTCTTGTAAACTTGATAAATAGTCAGCGAAACAAGAAATAATTTGACATATGGATCTCGAAGAATCGCCTGGATGGCACCTGTACCAAACAGTTTAGTAACATGAGGTAACTGTTTGACGAGTTCGGATAATACTATCTTGATGATTTCAGCTGAATCTGCACCAAATACTCTCGCGGAGACGTTTAATTGTTTGATGAGATTGGGCAACTCTGCTGTAATGAGCTTAACTGATTCGATACCAACGTTGTCCCACATTTTATTAACTCGTATAATTTGTGATTATTTAAGAAAATGGAAGAAACTTCGAAAAAGGGGATTTTGAGCTACTACTAGTAATGTGTTTGAATGGCGAATTTGTTTATGCTGGAAACATTTTCTTATGTAGAATATAAAAAAAACAAGTGAAAGTCTTATCAGCAATGGTGTGTACATTGATAAGAAGATGTTGACACGACGCAAACCTTCATTTCAAGATGAGCTGATGTGGGTGTCGCGTATTAAAAGTTAAAAATATTAGCTTTAATAAAAATCATTTTTTATTGATATTGTCTCAAAAAATATTCTGTCTTTCCATACTGGGAAAAATAAACTTATGTTCTTTTGAAAAACTATTTGTCCGATTGTTATGATAGATCACTGTGATTATACAACACTTCGAAGACGTCTAGCGCTTCCAAAGTAACACGAACACTTTACCGTACTTTACATATAAAAAACAGCCATTATCATAACCAACAAAACTGCCAAATTTAACACCAACAATACAATGCCAGCCTGGTTTATTTATTTTATCAACAGCTTTTTTTATTCGACTTGCCATGAGCGATTCCTGACCTCCTTCGTCCAAAGAAGATTTAATAATAGGGATAAATTGCTCTTGCAACCATAACGACATATCACACACCTGCACTACAATTTGACCCCCTGGATCTTTGTAAGGAACATCTAGAATTGATTAAAGTTTACTTAAGCTGACATTGCAAAACAATCTAACAATTAAAATCGTAGTATATTAAATTAGATGTGGAGATGTAAAGTCATTTTCGCTCTATCACAGAATAATTTTCGATGACTTCATGAAGTTGAATAAAAGATTTCTGTTTTCTGTTCTTTAATCATGTATATGATAGGCGAACCTTCTTCGCTTATTCTTGAATCAGTCGAATATCAAAACATATCATGACTGCATTACATCTTTCATCGAGGAACTCAGGATTTTTTATCAGCATGCCAAAAAAAAAGGTTTGATCACGGCAACTTGGAAACAGTGACGTTGGATAGATGATTATAATCTTCTAATCAATATTGAACTAACCGTCCTCACTATTTCACTAACTTACGTCTTTCCTCAATAAGAGAAATTCTATGGTCTTATATAGTGGCCCGATATGCCGTGTAGTCTTCATTCCTTTGTGCACGAAATCTACGAAAATTTTGCAATAAAGAGAAATGTTCCTCTCTAGACGTAGCTCGTTACTGCTCTTGTTTTCTATTTAAAACAGTATGCTCGATAAAAACACGATATGTACATGCAGTTGTTCGGTTAAATATACGTATTAGCTGTAAGGGACTTGAAAATTTAATGATCCTGTTTGCAGGTAAGAAATCGAAAAAAAGCATTTTCGATTCGATTTCAAAGAATAAACATTTGAGAGCTAAGATAATTTACCTAATTTCACTGATGCATGTTCAGTTTCATTTTTTTCTGGAGCGGCTTCTGCTTTGACTTTTGATACAGATAAAGTTGAAACTGTTGAGTTACCATGCGGAAGTTCTGGTTGCTTTGAGGGCGTGTGAACTATGAATAGATGACATAGACACTTCATAAACATTTACATCGGATAAGTTCTCACAAATTATTGAAATATGAGTTTAATAGAAAACAAGGCTCGTAACAAACTCGATTCTGTTAAGATAGGTGGATCGCGACTTCACAAATACTTTGTATCATTCCTACCTGTAGATTTTGGAGTCGTTGATGGTGTAGGAGGATTGACTTTTATTGGTGTTTTGCCCACGGGTGCAGTTGGAGTCGAAAGTTTGTCAGAAGGTGGTTTCACAAATGCGAACGGTGGTTCTATTTCTTTCAGTTGAATAATATGAAGTCCAGATGCTGGTTTCAATTGACCAATTACTTCGAAATACGATCCAGGTGAAAGGATGATTTCTTCTTCTGTGTTTTTGAAATAAGAATGAAGAGCAACTGCTTTGCCATTTTTGCACTCGATGGAAAAGATAGTACGAATACCGATGCTACCCAAAAATGCTTCTAATATCTCGATATTCGTAGTGCATGAGCTCACACCCCATCAGACGAATTGTTTTCCTCTGGGATAATGTGAACTTAAATCCACCCCACTCACCTCACGCCAAACTGTTCGGGTTTGAGAAGGTAACTTGTAAAGTGCAGTAAGAAGAAGTTTGAGATACATGTACCATGGCTCGATGTTCTGTCGATTCTCGCTTCGAAGAATTTGATTTAGAACTTGGTATAGACTAGGACCACCATCAAATTGCATTGTGTATAGATGAATGGCTGCTGATTCATTTTGTGTTAAACCCTCTTTGGGTTCTTTACAATTACTTTTTGATACCCAAATATTTTCTGAAATTTCATTGAAATGGTGCGCAACAGGTTCTATTGCTTTTTCAAGTGACACGAGGGGTGCAGTTTGATGGCCTTTGATAGGAGAAAGGGCGAACGCGACGGGCTCAGCACTCACATCCATGTAGCGTCCTACGGGCTTGCTTGATGCTGCCATGTTTCAAAATATATGTTCAATAAATCAAGTCGATTTTGACTACAAATATTCAAGTAAACATTTTAATTCTTAGAAAAACATAAAATATGACTTAAAACGATAAAAGGGTGAGGGTGACGCTGGGTGAAGATAGATAAGGACGAAAATATAGACTATCATAGAAGCACATGTTCTATGCCCACCTGCATATGCTCCGACTGCATCGTAGAGCTTGAATGCTTTGTGGTAAATAAAAATATAGAGATATGAGTTTTGTGCAAAGTAGGCATGTTACTCCACTATGTGGAACATTTGGGAATCAGGTTTGCTCGCGGAATCACTTGAATCTACTCAGGTATTTTGTAACGCAATTCGTGAGAGTGTGATTCCGTTAAGGAATTTCGGTATTAGTAGGAATTTAGTTGCAGTGTATATCACACATTCGTTAGTGAAGATGCCGGAATCGAAGAAATTGATTCCGTAATGTGCAACATTAGGGAATAGGATGTACTCTCTTTGTGTAGAGCTTTATAAATGTAAAACGCATTATAAGTCATCGTGAAAAACACAGTCCGGTTAGAGATGACGATTAACCGTAAGATCAATGATCTTGAGGATAAATGTTATTTATGGGTACCAAAGTTTAACGAAAGTGAATATGAAGCTGTGCTTTCTAAATTATGAAAATCTTTCGTTTTTTTCATCTATTCTTACCTTTTAAATTTTCTAAAAATGAAAAAGCAGCGTAGCACTTGACAAATTGTGGACTTGTTTTGTAGTTGTTGGTTTTTTCTTCAAAATATCTACCGAGTACTTTTATGCTTTGCGTAGGCGCACTGAAGAAACGAATTGCATTTTTTTTCAGTAGAAATAGGAAGAATAGCGCGACTTTATTAAAAAAATGTTGCGTTCTTCACAATTAATGGTGCTACATTTCTTTTTCTCAGGCAGATGCTTTCCTTCGTTATACAGAACGCAAAACTCTTTCCTACTTTGACTACCTTATTATTTGTAGTATTATAATCGCTCAGAATCCAAATCAATTCTCGTTACTATTTCTCACACATATTTCCTTCTAGACATTACCTATATATGTGTATTCGAAAATGAAATTTTCTGCTGATTTCGTGAAGGAGCCCGCCAATTACGGATGTTGCAGAGCTTTTCTGTAGTAAAAACCATGGTGGACATGAGCCTTAGTTTTACATTCTTATTCTCGTCAACATCCATAGCATCGACAAAAAATTTCACTGTACATCAAGCATTTATTACGTTGAAATACACGAAAAATAAGCGAGATTTTATTTGAAAACTTTCATCGAATAATGTGGTCATATAAAGTCACGTATATACTTTGCTGAACCGATAATCATTGTACAAATTATTCCATTGATATAACTGTATTTCTTCGAAATCGGTTTCGAATTTTAAATATAGTTTTAACTATGAGTGGAATAGTAAATCGTAAACTAGTTGTTAATCCTCCATACAATCCTAAAAGTTGTGATACAGTGTGCATAAAATGATCATTTCTTCTGATTTGATAAGAACAAGAAATTGGAGCACATTGATTGTAAAATGATAAATAAGAACTATTCCATTTCCATTCTTCAATGAATAATTGATCTACAATGTTTTGAATCGATGTATTTCTGTCGAAACGACTTTCTCTTGAAGAATTAATAGCTGAAAAATTCACTCGAGGACTTTGAAAATCATCATTGGGTATATGAAATAATAATGAATCAATGCAGTTTTGATCATAAAAGCATTCGAGTGTTGAATGAAGTAATGTTTCTACTGCTGAGCATCCAACATTCCATCCAGGAATTGCAAAGATTTGCTCATCAGTTTGTCCATCATAAACACCTCCTGACTCAAAACAATCACTTTGTGTTCCACATGAACATCTTTTGTTCTTTATAATTGGACGAGTGAGAATTGTAGTGGAAAAATTATCTAACCTTGTCCACCATTCCCAATTCAATGAACGAGAAGATATAAAAGCATTTCCGTTCATGATATCACGTATGAGTTTGAAACTTCGCGAAAATCTTGTCAAAGTCACATTTCGAAATTGGAAAAATGTGTTGTCGATTTGCATCTTAAAATGCAATTCGGATATCAATCGAGTGCTAATAAATGTCTCATTATACAATTGATCCATTGCATTATTAACTGTTGTTTCAGATATTTGACATAATGCCGATAGAAGGGAAAAAATTTAAGTTAAGAATGATTGAATTTAATCGTTGTTAAACCAGAAAGCCATTTCAGAAGATCCATAGTAGAATCGAAACGCATTATGGCTACTTGTACACACTCTCACCCTTACCCTCAGTCATCATGTATGAAGGAACTCAGGTAAACAAACAATTTTTCCCTTATTCAAATGCACTCACTCACAACCACACACGAATCAACAACGATGGCTCGTTCATTTTGTTTGTTATTTTTTATTTATTTTTATTTTTTCATGTGATGGACTGTGCAATTCTTATTTTCTTTGTTTTTGTTATTTTTGTTCGTCATATTAATTATTATTAAACTATTTATTTCTATATCTTTCTCTTTTTTATTTTTCTCTTTTGTCACGCAAGACATTCACGCATTGATCTTGGGTAAAGCCATCACAGGTATTCAAGCCATTAAAAAAAAACACAATAATAATATGATTTTCACAAGAAAAATGAACGTTCGAACAAAAAGAGCAGTCATGTGCTCCCACTCAAAATGGGGTTTCTGAATTTTAATGTTCTTGTTGATTTCGCAAAGGATGATGAGGAGCCACAATGACATGACCTTCTTTCCACCCTGGTCTCTGTTTTAACGCCGTCAACACTTGTTTCGTTGAATAAAACGGATGAAAGGCCTGCATAAACCCATGTCCCAATGTTACGGCTTCCATGCCATTGATGCAAAGCAAAACATGAGAATTCTGTAAAACAACATTGAAAACACGATCCACAATTAAGGACGAAGGCATCTCAAGATGATGAACAGCCAGATCGCAAGGTCGAACGAAAGAATCTTGAATTCGAAGAGGATGTGTGGATGTGACAGCCAAACGTGAAAAGGGCAAAACAATCAAATCAAAGCGTCCTTGAAATTCTACCAAGCAGAGAACGGAAGAAAAATCAACATGACCAGCAGCATCAACGACTTGTAAACGATCGCCAGAACGAACCTGGAGAAGAAAAAAGAACGCAATACAATGCTAAGAAGACAAATCAACAGAATAAATAATCACCAACCTGAGAGAGTTGTTTCTCTCTGACCATTCCATCTTGTTCTTTGCATTGTACAACACATTCCCCACTGAAGCAACCTCCATTATTACCGGCATAATAATTATTAGCAGCAGGTATAGCATTGTTGTTACGGTTATTGTTGTTGCTATTAGCGTCAGAGTCAGAGTACTTTTTCAAAGGCAATCCTTTAAAAATTTCGCCACCAGAATGAACTAATTCGGAAAATAGAACACCGCCATAGACTTGAAGACCTGGGTCCACTATAAAAGAGATCAAACAAAAACAAGTAAAGAAAATGAAAATCAATGCACTCCCCTCCCCCAGAAAAACATACTGAAATTGGTCCTCAATTGATATTCATGCGATCTCAAAATCGCTCGCAAATAGTGCGCTCCCCATCGTTTGTATCGTTCCACTGTAGAAACGGCTTTGCTGATTCTTTCTTGCAAATCGCCTTTCAACAAAGCTGTAATACGAGCATCTTTCGCTGTCGCTTCCAATCCGATGAGTTGTCCGATCAAAGTTTTCAAGATTTTAGGTCCGGCTGGGTCGGTAGCATCACACTTGTCGATGACTTGTTCCAACGAATGAACACTGGACATACGAGCAAAAGCAGCCAATGCATCGGTAGTCACCGAAAAATCAGAACCAATCAAAGATTCTTTGTGGTTGTTGTTTTCAGAGTTCCATTCCAGAGTGACTTTGAGAAACGGCTGGTGATGGTCCTGAACATCGACGGGAATCTTCATAGGTACAATCAGATCTCGATGACTACCAAAGTGCAGTGGTCCTAAATCAAAGACCAAACCCCAAGGCACTCGCTGAAAGGAAGAATGCAACACAGAAGGGAAAACAGCCCCATTTTGTGGTTCCAAATGCACTTTGGCATCCAATGCCAGATTGGTACAAGCATTGGCCACAAAATTTACGAAACAAGTGCCCACAATTTTGGCATCAGGAATAAATGCAAAGGTGCCTTTGCCCTCTCTGGCCACATCCAATAGCATCTTGCTCTTGAGTTCATATCCAAATCCGAAAGTCGAGACACTGCAAGCGAATCCAGCATGAGCTTCAAAATAAGAGCGCAAAGCCATATTCTCTCCGCCAGGAGGAGAGACCGTGGGTTGACCATCCGTGAGAATCACAATGAAACGATGTCGTGGAGAAGCACGAGCAGTGCGAAGAGATTCAAGACCAGCTTCGAGACCCGCCCTGAAACAAATAAAAACAAAAAAGAGAAGACATAAGTATCGATTTCACGCAGACAAACAGGCAAAACAAAATCATACCAAATATTGGTGGAGTTTTGTGGCTCCAAAGCCTCCAGAGCATCAATGGCTTGTCTCTTTCCACCCTCATTCATTTCAGAAAGCGTAAAGACCGAACGCGCTTCATCATGAAAGGCCACTAAACTGAGACGATCTTGATCAGTCAATGTGTGAATGATTGCCTTGACCGAATGCTTGACAATGTCCAGTTGATTCATACCTTCACTGACAAATTTCGACGCATCGTTCGGGTCCTGGAATTTGGCATCTTCCCCCATAGAACCACTCACGTCAATGACGCAACAAATATCCACTTGTGAACGTCGAGCCGTGTCTGGAATAGCAATGGAAACGGCAATGGGAAGAGAGACTTGATCATTGACCCATTTGTCAGCTGGGGCTATGGAGAGAACAGGACGAGCGGACGACGAAGATGCACTAGCAGATGCAACAGAGAGAGATTGCTGTGCTAAAGACCAATTTCCATCATCCTCATCCTGGATGAATATGAAAAATAAAAAAGATGAATTGCAGTAAACAATCGAGTCACAGTGAAAAATTCAAAACCCAATCACAAAAAATGCAAACAACCAACCTGTGCAGGCACAACCTCGGGTTGTTTTTGCTCCACTTGCATGTCTTCGTCCACAACTCCACTTTGGAATACTTTGACAACCGAGTTCATGTGTGCACGACAAATGGGACACTTGGCTCCACTGCTGAGCAACGTATTCAAGCAAGGCTCACAGCCGCAGAGATGACCACATGGTAAGATCACTCCATCCGCTTCTTCGTCCATGCAAATAACACACAATGATTTAGCAACTTTGTTGTTCGAATTAGAATTGGCAGGCATTGGTGAAGGATCCGGATCTTTGCGAGCCTCAACGACGATGGGCTCAGACAAGATTTGCTGCAACGCGGACAACTCTTCCTCGATACTGACCGCCGAATTGAGAGCAAAGAGCTTGCCAGGAAAAACGGCCAAGATCGAACCTAAATGTTGCTGGAAAAATTGAAGACGACCACGGATTTTGTTTTCGTCCAGATCAGTTTCGCGTCGAACGAGCCGTGCTGATACTTGATCAGTTGGTGCAGGAATCAGTAGCGTGTGATAAGTGAGATGGCTGACTGGATCAATTCGACGATGATTGATACGATCAACGCACAGCTCTTCTTGCGCCTGCAGGAGAACGACACGATCGACTGTAAGCATTTTGTTCAAGGCCTTGGCTTGATGCAGAGTGCGAGGAAAACCATCAAGAAGAATGGTAGACGAAGCCAACGCATCGGGTTGCTGCAGACGATGACTTAAAATGTTGAGCATAATATTGTCCGGGATAAGCTCGCCTCTGCGCACGAAAGGGGAAACACTCTTGCCAAATCGACTGTTTGGGTCTTGCATTTCGTCACGAACGAAATCACCCAATGAAATATGAACAACGTTGGGCAATTTTGTGGCAGCGGCGTGTCCCAAAGTACCTTTGCCACTGCCTGGAGGACCAATCAGAAGGACGATTTTTTGTACTGAATTCGACATCTACAAGAGAACAAAACACATGGTTGAAAATCCGTCTCTATCAAGGAAAGATGCAGTAAAACACGTGTTTCGAAATGACTTATGATTGATCCATCTAGCTCATGTAGTAAGAAAGTTATAGGCTGAGAAATCTGCTTGACAAAAAAGAATAAAAATTAACCGCGAACCAGATCTATATGGGTGTGCTTTTAATAAAAGTTCCATAACTTCATTAAAACAAAAGGTTTTCCGATCAGCGTTATCTTGTTTTGATCAGAAATCATTGCCCTTCTCCATCTAGTTGCAACATCGAAACTTCGATCGCGCTTTCTGTTGCTTGCTGAATACGTTGTTGGAAGCTAGGCCGTAGATTTCTTACGTGTTTTTGAAACTTGGATCACGAGCACACCATTTTCTCTAGAAATATTTTGTACAGATCACGAGAAAAGAGTACATTTCAGAATACTAAAGTCAGCTGAGTTCTCGCTTTTATTATGCTGTTTTGTGGAAATAATAGGAAAAGAAAACGTTCATTCCGGATAGCCCTTGAAAAGTTACTAATAGTACTTCTCAAGAGACCAATCATATCTAAGCCCAAGCAGTTATTGGATTAAATTCGCAAAACAGGGAAGTCGACGAGAAAAAAATTAGCATACGGCTTATGGCCTTGTGCAAAGCATGGCGTTTTGAATAGTGTCAGGTCCACTTTCCAAAAATTCGCAGTGCCAAAAACAATTCAACTAGAGATACCTTTGTTCATTGTGGGCCCATTTTGCATGACAAAGGAAATGCTATCATCAACTGAAGCGCCACACTGACCTGTCTTCCTGCGTTAACAGTGCACCAATGCTAGTCTCCTCTCCACTACTTTGTTCACTTGTGCATATTTGCATTTGTGTTGTCTACCCTTGTTTTTGTTCAGCTCAACCCAAAAATCGAAAACCTGTTTATTAAATTTCCATCTGATTGTCGACCTCTGTGTGTGAGCTGTTTTTAACAGAAATTCAAAGAAAAGGCAACCAAAACAAAATCAACCTGCTCGCTGAAAAAAGGAGAAAGCAATATAAAAAGAAGTATAGAAAAAAAGAATTTTCGTTTACCTAGACAAAAGATTATCCATGTTGTTCTGATTATGAGCAATGTTTTTGAGAATCTTGAAGCGAGATTTGAATTTGAGTTATTTCTCAGAAAGCTCTGGCGAGAACAAGGAAAACATTGAATAAAACGAGACCACAACAAATTCATTCATTCAATCATAGTTCTTGAACTTCTTCTTTTTACTATTCTTACCATTTCCAATCTCTTAACCGCCGTCTTGTCTAGCACATGTCGCTTTGCTTCATTCTCTAATGACAAAGCCACTGTTTCACCATACACTTTGTTGTTGTTGCTGTTATTGCTATTATGACTATGCAAAGTCTGAGAAGCTTGTTTCTGGGACAAGTTGGATTTGTGAGATTCAGTTGCTCAGAGTATACAGCGTTCTTGTGTTCGGCCTGGAGAAAAAAAAGGGAAAAGGAAAGAATACAATACAAGAAAATGAGAAAAGAATTCAGCAAAACATTTTACCAAGATACATGCCATGAAAAACATGATTGCAAACGAAAATCAATAATCACCCTGTCAAGACTGCGGGTAAATCATCCACCAACAGCTCATTGCTTAACGAACGATTACAAGAATCCTAACTTTCATGTTTGGGAGTAATTGCACGAGCAGAACGAAACATGTCATCATAAAAAAGCTTTTTGGCTATAAAGAGAGAGGGAGAGAAATAAATAAGGGGGTAACGAAGGCACGAATGGAAGAAGAAAAAAATTAAAAAAATAATATAGGGAGCAATGCTAGTTCGACACACACATGCACATACGCAGAGAGGGAGAAATAAATAAGCGAGTAACGAAGGCACGAATGGAAGAAGAAAAAAATGAAAAAAATAATATAGGGAACAGGGTAAATTCGACACACATACGCACACGTAGAGACAGAGAAAAGTAAATAAGGGGGTAAGGATGGCATGAATGAAAGAAGAAAAAAATTCGAAAAATAATATAGGGAACAAGGTTAATTCGACACACACACATGCATGTACCCGTAAAAAGAATGCTTTCTTCATAAGCATACGTATCCAACATGACTCGTAAAGTTTCACAAAACTCTGAAAAGGATCCGCTTGATGATCTGTCGTGATTTTCCTTTAAAAAATGAACACCAAGGAGAAAACAGTGAAAAGAAGCAAAAGTAAACAATCAAACCATAAAAACAAAGAACAGTATATGAGCAATGCTGGAAGAGTAACATGTCCCATCACTGGAGACATAATCTTAGAAACCTGCATTTTTTTTTGCTTTTTTTGATAATGAATAAGAAAACAGAAACATAGGTAAAGACAAAATCTATTCGTAGGATCAAAACGAAAAGAGAAAGATACATAAAATCACAAATAATACGATAGAGGTCATCAAAATATAAAATTCGAAAACAATGCAAAAAGCATACTAAATGATGTAAAATCAATTTCATTAAAGCAGCCACATTTGAATTTAACTTTTCTGTTTGCCTTCGAAACTGTTTTTGTAAAGTAGCAGATTTATCCAGCAAAGAGAACCACAATACTTCTGATTCTGTATCTTGTCGCTTGCTGTGACGCTGACAAAGAGAAGAAGTCGTGGACATGACCCGTGTATGCTTTTTAAAATTTTTTGGAGTGGTAAAATGAAAGAAACAATTGCGTATCAACATACATATTAGGTTGGTAAGAAAGATCTTGGGTTTTGTTTTTGGAAATGGTCATAAAATCTTCTAGGAAGTTCTCGAAGCTTTGATACCAAGAATATATATAGGAAGAGTGAATGACGTTCGAACGAAAATACTGATATCTCTCGTGGAGAGATTCGAATCATTTTGCTCCATGAATTTCAATTGGGACACAAAGCAGCTGAAGCAGCAAATAATATATGCAGTACGATGGGTCCCAATGTCCTGTCCATCCGCACGGCACAACATTGGTTTGATCGATTTCGTAATGGGAACAGTGCTGCACGGATGCTCCCATAGCATGGTAGAAAAACATTTGACTGATCTTGGCAAAAGCTGGAAATATGGGGTATGGATTTAATCACATCTCATCGTAATCATCAATGGCTTAGCAATGGCGAAACTGGAGTGGCAACACCTAGAATGGACATGCATCCCAAAAACGTGATGTTGAGTGTCTCGTGGGGCGTGCGAGGAATCATCTATTGAGAACTTCTTCGTAATGGTTACTGGATCGTGTTGTCCAAAAACTCAAAGGAAAACAAGATCGAATTTACTTCCTCCACGACAATGTGAGACCACATGTGGCAAGGTTGACTCGTGAAAAACTATTGCATCTCGGTCCGACTACCAACCCCACCCACCTTACTCGCCGGACTTGACTCCCACTGACTATCATTTGTTCCACTCTCTGTTCAACTACTTGAGCGAGAAAAAGTTCGACGATGAGAACGACCTAAAATCCGCTCTCGCAACTTTTTTCGATTGGAAGTCCCCGGACTTCTATGAGCAGAGGATCGTTTGTCTTCCAGGTCGTTGGCGTCAAGTTATAGAAACAGATGTTGCATACATAGATGAGAACCAGTTCTTTTTGATAAACAAAAAGAATAAAATAAAAATCTGAGAAAAACGCAAAAACTTTCTTAGCAAGCCAATATAAGCAATATGAAAAATTCATCGGCTAAATTTTCACAAGTTATCAAGATATGAATTCCCAGATATTTTGCATTGTTCGTACCTGGAGGTATGTTGAAGGGTAGTTTCACAGATGCAAACGGCGGATCAATTTCTCTTAGTTGAATAATATGAAGTCCAGATGCGGGTTTCAATTGATTGATCACTTCGAAATATGACCCAGGTAGAAGTATTACTTCTTCTTTCGTATTCTTGAAATAAGAATGAACAGCAACTGTTTTGCCATTCTTGCATTCGATGAAAAAAATAGTGCGAATACTAGTGGTACCCAAAATGCGTTTATAATAATAAATTAGGCTCAGCTGTCGGGTCACCTCTAATTATCACATTATACTGATTTTAAATTTGATCTAATAAATAATTGTGCATGTTTATCTCGGTTCGAACCAACTCTTTCAGAGTTTTTGTAAGATAAGATTAATGGGTAAATATATAGCTCATACCTCAAGATGTTAAGATCAATATTTTCCATAGTAGATTTATTTTCAAAAACAAATACACAACATTGATGCATAAAATTAGTATTCGTCACGCATTCTTCAAGATGGTAATCGTGCTTTCCGATCACCTCGTATCTTGTTTGACATTGAAAAATTTGTATGATTTTCTTCGCGTCGTCGATATCGACCACAAGTTACTCCTCTCATCATACCTTCGACAAATGCCTTTCGAAATCGATGACTCACCAACGTTGATAAATAGAATGACTTGACATTATTTAAATAATACAAATTATTTGTTAAAATAAAAACAAAAATTTCAACCATTATCCGTTCATAACTTTTCGTATTGTTCTGAGTTGCAGACCAGTATATATACATGCCTAACCACTGCAAACAAAAGAAAGCTGTACCAAAGATCTGAACAAATATCATTCCGACAAATCGGTTTCGTGAGCGATTTTGTTTTCTCACTACAATCACACCCTAAATGTTACATAAAAAATAAATATTATCTCAAATGAACAAAAATACATACTACTCGTTGACGACTTCGAATAACATTCCGATAAGTGAGTAATACAAAAATTAACATGACAGCAGGTGCTGCAATACCGTGAATAAGGCTATACAAAACACTTGAAAGTACTGGATTTGTGGAGGAACACATGTAGAAAGGAATTACATCATTGAGAATAGGTGATTGTAATGACATGAGACCACTGATAATAATATTTAATGAAATGAAGTATGGAGCCTTATTTCGTTGACATATTCGACGAATTGACGACGTTAAATCTAATGTAGAAGCAAACCGATCGATTAAAGATAAGAGCAGAAGATTAATAGATAGTTGAGGTAGAAAAACAACTGCAAAGAGTTTAAATTTACACTGAACGCGTGAAAACAGCCGTGAAAACCAAGAAATATCATATTGACCGAGATAATTTGGTAAAAGATTGATAATGAGATTACAGACATCTATGAATGAACTGCAAAGTGTGTAAATACAGCAAGTATTTGTACGGAGTGTTGGTTGAAGAAAAGTGATACTATTTCCAATAAAGCCAATTGAACCAAGAATTACGAATGGTAATGGGAGATAATTAATAAATCGAGTCAGAATAAGATTGAGAGTATCGATAAGTGTTTTTGCTGATACTGTAGTGGAAATAAGCACTGTACTGTTGTTATAAGACATTATTAATGTATATGAATGGAATTAAGATTGCGAAATGTATTTTGTTTAATAAAATACATTTCTTTTAAATATTTCATTGTCATTGACAGATTTCTATCAGATTCGTATTTATAGAAAATGAAAACGTGATAATGACAGAAGTTTAATAACAAGCTTTTGTATTTAATTTTTCTACAATTTACAAAAACATTTGTGTTTATCACAGTGTTATTCTCATCAAACGTCTGGTACAGACGATCTTGCGAGAATCATTAAAAAAATAGCTGCTCTTTATAACTGCTGTCTAGGATATATTTTATATGTGTGTATCAAACGTGTCGGAAGGAGCTGCCGAGCGATATCAAGATTCCGAGATGACTGAAAAATAGGTACATTATAATTACTTATTAAGTCAAGTGACATTTTTAATTTACAGAAATAATTGAAAAACGGTTTCAGTGAGAATACTTTCATAGTTCCGATCAATTCTCAGGCACACTCGCAAAAAAATGTTAGTTTTCAAGTAATACTCATGCTAGCACATTCAAAGATTCGGAAAGAAGCATAAACAATAGTATTTTCAAAGAATAAAAATAAATAGTTGCACTAGTTCGAGTAGTGATATGTTCAGAGGCTTTTTTCCGGTGGTAGCAGAAGTAATATTGTTAGTTAATATATTTGTCATTTTGAATGTTGAAGCCCATTGGCTTTCAAGTAAATGAAGTTTAATATTGGATATATCAATTAAAATATCACGACTTTCATTTGCGACATTCCGTTCAATTGAATTACCATTTGCACCTAAGAGTGTTACAGCTGTGTTTAGTGAAGCTGATAAAAAGACCTTGATCATGAAATTATTTTTAGAAGTGAAATGACACAAAGAAAGAAAAATTTAACTCTCTACTTACAATCAATTTAATTATTTCAGGCATTTCCGCGTAAGTAAGTTGATCATTATAAGGATATTTGTATATTTTGCTTTTGAATTTTCATTTTGAACAAATAAAGTGTTGAAGACTTATCACTTCAACGAAACTTGAAGTTAATAAGAGAAAATAAATGATAAATATCTGAAAAAAAGTCATCATATAACTTACTTTACGAAGTAATCCGTTCGAAAACTTGAGCCTACCCTAGAATGAATTCGGTCCGCCGCCTATGGCTCCTACTCTTTCGGATGTTTTGTGGAACTCACATTATTTTTCGAAGAAAAATAGTGAGTGTAAGTTTTATATCCAGGATCTTTGGACCCCCTCCCCTCCCCCATGGGCCGCAAGCCGCTATTCCAGCTATACAGGTTAGCTGCTACGAGGTCACGGAGTACAAGGGGGACAGCGTTAGCCGCTATAGGGTCACAGGGTGCAAGGACGGCATGAGCTATACAGACTCAGCCCTACAGGACTACAGACGCTACACAGGGTGCAGGCACTGCAACGATTATTGTAGCCGTATGACCTATAGAAGTATTAGAAATGTAGAGAGTATTAGAGTTATGGAACATAGAAAAATGTAATCAGCGTGTTCAAATTTCTATTATTTACCATTCAAGTAAAAATATTTGCATTTCAAATGCAGGTTCGTTATTTTCTGCTGTGCTGTTTGGGCTTTACTCGGTATTATTTAAATTATGCGAAAATGGCCCAACGTGCACTTTGTTCAGAAAAATCTCGTCTTGTCTGGAATTCTAAATAATTCTCACATAATATTTCTATATTAAACCAAGGACAGTCAATTATATATGTTTGTTTCTTCAGTTGAATCAACTGGTTATACCTTTTGTGACTACTAGAAATGCTACCAGCCTGAGAGTGATGATCTTAAAGTGGGCTTACTCCTTAAGTATCCTATTCTAATCCACAATCTCGTTTTCCAAATGCAAGCGTTCCAGTCAGATAAAAATTTGGAAAAACGTGTTTAAACACACAGAAGAGAACCGCGATTGTGAACCATTAACGTTTTTCCAAATTTTCGTCTGACTGGGATGTGAGTTCCACATTTTAGCCCCAAAGGGGCTGCGCTGACAAGCTTTTTTCTATATATGAATATTTTTCGTATACAATGTTTTCATCGAGTAATACCATAACTGACATAGGTTTTAGAGGAAATATTAGTCGAATGGGAGCCCAGAACCAAATTACCATAATTTGCTAATTTCTTTTGACCATAAAGATTTTAATCAGCTGTGTTCGAGCTTCTGAAAAAGAATGATGGTTTTAACTTTTATCTTAATATTTAATCGTATCTTATAGCTGACATCCGTAGCAACTGCTTCACTTGCATCGAGTTCGATTGAAGATAATGAGTGGTTCATATGACTGAAACGTACCCTTCGCAATTTTCTGGGAATGAATATGTTAATTAAAGTCAATAAATTTATTGATTTTAATCAAAGATGATTTTTGTTTGATGCAAACAAGAATAGTTCAAATGGGGGTACTGTACCTCAAAAAGGGGTACGGATGGCAGCCCTGCAAAGAACATCTCTCTTGGAAGGAATTGTCGACATAAGAATAAATGGTAGATGTGCCGTGTTTATTGAGATTATTATAGGAACGTTCCTGGGCGTTTTTTGTTGTTTTTCACAAGCTAGTTTTACGCTGTTGCTGATAAGAACTACGAGTATTAGTTATTCGATGTATTTTTCATTGGTATGTGTGATTTATCAGAGGAAGAATTCTTTACGTATACAAAATTTAATATATTATAGTTGAGTAATTACATGAGGGAAATCACCCACTTTACTATGGACACGCATGATTCGCATAAATAAGCGCAAGGAAAAAACCGACTTTTCAGTATATAACTATTACTAAATATTGATAAGTAAATTGATAGATGAAGTCCTTTTGATAATTTATGCTACTGAAAAGGTAATTATTTCTTCATAACAGATTTTTTAGATTTTATTTTGTCATGATATGAGTGTCTATGAATACCAAAAAATAGGACTTGATGTGAAAATAAGACTATCATTGATAATTATTCAGACGAAGCAAACGTCGGATGACAGTTAGCGATTATTAATAATAAATGTGATGAAAATTTTGGAAAAGTTGTCGATAGATGTACATTAGAAAAGACTATTGTTCTAATTGTTTCTAGAGGATCATTTTTTGTGTATATAGAGTTTAACAGAAAATAACTTAGACATTTACCATTAAAAGTTCAGAGCAAAAATCAGCGTTGAATTTCGTCATAGTTTCTTTAGGATTAGGAAATGAATCACAGCTAATTTACTTCTTCTTTTAGTAAATAAGGTGATCCAATAAAATATTTGTAATCATATGACACAAGAAAATTTGCAGAGAACTAACAATCGCTTTGCGACCAGCACTTGTGCTGAATTTCAAGAAGCAAATGGCAATCCAATATTCGGGTACGAACATGTGCCTGTGAAATCACTAGAAGATGCAGTAAAAGGTGTCGTCCATATCGTGCCTAAAGTGGAAGAATATGTCAATGAAGCCATGGAAAACCGTAAAAAAAATACACATTNTGGGGATGTCGAGGCACCTATATCACAAAAAAAAGTTCTAAAAAAGCTTCGCTAACGCATGCTTAACTTCGTCGGCGAGAGCTCACCTGATAAGGTACTTTGAGTGACCATTTTTCCACAAAGGTATGTGCCCCCGGTTCCCTTCTATTGAATAGGGAAAACCTCAGATCGAAATAACTTTCCAATCAAAAACTATAAATGTTCTTCCACCTGCCTTTTTTAAAATTTCGATAGTAGCTGTCAAGTCAATCCGCCAACCGGAAACGTTTCGTCATGTGCAAGTGTAGCTGCATGTAGTTCAAGTGTTGCCAATTATTCTGTCTCATCATTTTCGAGCTATCAAATAAAAACGATTATTGGTGTGACCAAAGATGGACATTTGATCTATCGGCCGTATTTGTCTGCAGGCACACGTGTGACATCAGGTTTCGATGCTTATAATGGAATATTTCATGATTCAAATGGAAAGTATGCTTATTTCGCAACGTCAACTTATCCCTACCTAGTAGGTTGTTTTAGTCCCGTAAATTAGCCTTCATTTGCTCCAAACTGTACTACAATGGTCCATCAAATTATACAATGTCATCCCGTGCAACGACATTATTAAGTCAATCATCAACTGTCATTACTACTACCTCTATTTCCAGTAGCAGCACTACCTCAAGTACCAGTGCCAGTACTCACATGATCACGACAACAGCAACAACAAATATAACAACGACGATGACAACATCTGCCTCTTCGTCAAATTCGACTACTACAGCTGTTCGCAGAACAGCATCGATGGGTACTCGATTAACTTTTAATATTTTTCTTCTTTTGCTTCTTCCTATGATGATGATGTAATTCCGGACTAAAACGCGATTGAAATTCTTCAAAAGCTTCATTCGAACTATTAATATTATTGCCATAATTCTCATTCTATTTAATATATCAAAATTTTCATATTAAAAATAAAAATTTCCCCTTAAAAAGTAGTCAATATCGTATGAAAAATGATGTAACTTTGATTCTGTTGAAATATATTCTTTTTCTTAATATTGCGGTGGACTAAATAAAAACGTGGTGATCTATAAGATAAAGCTGAGAATGTAGGTGAACAATAGCGACTAGATTAGCAGCTTCAATCTCTAGATTTTCAGTTGTCTTAGGTCCGAACGAAATTTGTGAGATAGAGGCAAAATAACTATTGCAGCATAGGGCCTGTAAGGGAAGATATGGGTTTTATAGTGAGCTCAGTACGAAAATGAGCGGTGTTAGGTGGAAATTTTCAAACACATCTTTTCGAGGAGAAAATGTTTATTCCAACATTCAGAGTGAGACCCGCCTGACCTAGGCATCGCAGATTGAAATAGATTAAATCATTTTTTTGAAAACTGAATTTTTCTTATGAACATAAATTTAATGTCAATAGAACGTAAACTTGTGCAGCTCCGAGAGATTTTACTTGGCCATACGACTCACGAATAAAATCGTTTTATTTAAGCCTCTCAAATGTTTCATATTATACCTGTTGAAATGTATATTTGGTGGAGTTTTTCATTGGTAGTTAAGAAATATGAATAAAGATAAAATTGAAAACGTAAAAACTATCGATGATGTTAGAAGTATTCTCATAAAATGATATACAAACCATTTGAATTGTTCGTTATCTATAGAAATTTGTTCACCAGATAATATTGAATCCAGATAATTCTTCTTCAAATGTCTTTCCTATACATTTTAATCAAATACATAAACTACGCTATGACTTATCTTTTTCCAATGACAGCAGAACATTTCTTTGTAACTGACCCGCTTATATTTTCAAGATTGACAATCTTGAAATAATGTGTTTCAATTAAGAATATGAGGATTAGGATCTGGGTGTGAGGGTGAGTTTTGCTACTAACTATCTCCAACAATCTCAACTAGATAGAGTTATAAAATCGATCTCAACCTATTCAAATCAATTGATGTTGAATTATCCCCGTTAACTGAACTGTCAGTTTGTACTCGATCTAATGACGTTGTTCGTTTTAAGAATAGAGAGTGTCTAATAGAACCGAAGACTGTTGAATTTGAATGAAAGGATCCACTTCTCTTGAAAGACTATTTTTCCTAAGTAATTCGAGTTTTTCGACTCGGAAAAAGTTTTGTGTGGACCAGAAAGGTGGCATTCGTGGTTAGTTTTTGAAGTCCTATCAAATGGTATGAAACATAGAAAGAAAATAAATTTTTCTTTGTTTGCACCAACGTATTTTTTACACGTGACACTTTTACGATTATTTCGTGGCTGAATCATTGTCCGAAAATGTATGTTTTTACCACTAATGAAGTCAATGTGGTGCCATCGATCTTACAGCTTTATTCCCAATTTATCACGAGCCATATGTTTTTGCTGTTTAGTCAGCAATAGCCATTTAGATATCATCGTTTTGTAGAGATGTTTTTAAAAGTTAATCGTTAATGAGAATGTGTTGAGACAAAATGAACCTGTCGGCATTTAAAAACAGTAGCAATTTATCAGAAAATCTTCACTCAAACAAGGAAGAACAAGCACAGAGTTAAAACGAGTAAATAATGCCGAGGAGAAGAAAACGTCGACAGAAATTGACGGGAAAATTCTCAGAGAAATTATTTGTAGGAATCGCCCGAGAGTAAACAATCTTCTACCTTTCAAATTCACATTCCACTAAAAACTTTTCTATACGAACCATTTCTTTTGTTATATGCCAAACAATATTTTTCTTAATTCATAAATATCACTGAAAAAGCTTGTCAGCGCAGCCCCTTTGGGGCTAAAATGTGGAACTCACATCCCAGTCAGACAAAAATTTGGAAAAACGTGTTTAAACACACAGAAAAGAACCGCGATTGTGAACCATTAACGTTCAGTTAAAACACGTTCGAACACGCGTTTACTGGGATTTTTTCCAACTTTCTCAGCGTGTAAACATCAGAACTTTCCTTTTTCCAACGTAGAAACGGTCTTTTAATGTATAATTCTAAAACAAGCTGTTTCTACGTTGGAAAAAGGAAAGTTCTAATGTTTACACGCTGAGAAAGTTGGAAAAGGCCCCAGTAAACGCGTGTTCGAACGTGTTTTAACTGAACGTGAATAGCTCACAATCGCGGTTCTCGTTTGTGTGTTTAAACACGTTTTTCCAAATTTTTGTCTGACTGGGGTGTGAGTTCCAGATTTTAGCCCCAAAGGGGCTGCGCTGACAAGCTTTTTCAATACTTTCTGTATCTTAAGATTATCAATATTGTTGAGGTAAAAGCATAGTATGTATACCAAAAAAATCTTCTTGAGTGCGTTGACTAATAAAGCCGAAAACTAGAAGAAAAGAAAACACGAATAAAAATGAGCAAGAAAATATAACAGAAATTGAAACATTATATATGCCGTATATTTCATTTCAATCGTTAGTGTGTACTGTAACGAACACTAATTGACTATTTTCGTATTATAGAAAGCCTCATTTTGCAAGCCCTATAACCTAATAGTTTTTGAAGTAGTCACAGCTTTGTATTTATTCAAAGTTTAATTTTAAATACAGAAGAATATGCTCTCAGCGTGATGATGGGCAAAGGTAAATCGCAAGTAAAGGTATTTAAGAAAGTGATATAGATAAGGGAACATTGAGAAAAAATAGAGTGATATCATCATAGCCCTCCATGATATAACATATATATTCTATTTCTTTATTGTTTCATTCAACTGCTACAACACAAGAATAATGTCTCCGAATCCCTCCGATGAAAATATTGCACCTACGGTTCCAGATTTATCTTATACGAACATGGTTAAAGCACCTATTTCAATTACAAATAGTTCATATGCTCCTAAAATAATAGATATTATATTCGCTAAAATGATTTATTTTATCAAAATGTTTTTTCATGTTTTTTTTCAACGTAAATTCATCCTCCATCGTTTAATGGGTCTATTATATTTAATTCAATATGCTTTAGCATTTTATTTATATTTCAACGATTATAATTCATTTAAATCGTCAGTATTTATTTGGTCATTGCCATTAACTGGCTTAATTCAATCAGTAATAGCTATATATACTTTCACGTTTTTATCACGTACTAAAGTTGATGGTGGCTATTTTTCTGACCGCGGTACATTGTCATATTCCTTCATTGTTGAAAATTCATTCTTTGCTCTTATTTTATTATTTCAATGGTTATATTATTCGGATCAATTCTATTCATTATTTAATTCAACAATTATAATTGATAATGTATTTGTATTTTTACCGTATATATTAAGACAATTATGGCCAAAAACACGTTTTCGGGATTCACTATATAATTCAGATAAGACCAGAACAAAAGAAAACAAAAATTTTTTTTTTATTGTTACGCATATAACAAAATTATTTTATTTATGGGCTAAACATTATATTGGATTCTTTTTAAATTATATCCGTTTTTTTAACCGTGCAAATGACGAACAAATTTATCATATTTATTCATTACTTCTATTTAGTGCGTTTGCAACTACAATATCTATTTTTCTTCATACGTTAAAATTTAAAGGTTATATGGGACCAAAATTATCATTCATGATTTATATGTCTTCTTATGTAGCTACATTTTATTCATTTATACAAATATGGGATATATTTTTAATTAATATAGATTTCACAATATTCGTATTCATTGGATTATTATTAAATTTTACAAAGTATCAACATATATATCAAATATTCTTAATGATTTTATTTAATATGCATAAATACGATATATTATCAAATGATACTTCAAAATATCTTTTCTTATCAAAAGTTTAGCGTCAAAACCATTCTTAATGATCAAACAAATAATTTCACTATAAACCTTCAAAATTTGTCCGGTTTTAAATAGTTTTTTTTTCTCATGAATTCATTTAAGCAATAAAAATATTCTTTTTTTTCAGCAACTTAAATAAATTATATACTCAATTTATTCCATTGTGTAAATCTCGTTCCCTAATACAGAGAATCGAATCCAACATACAGAACGCCTTATAAATCAGAGAGAGGATGTGGGACGGGAACATAGGATTCTCGCTAGTATATTTTATGGGATATTGTTGGAATATAAAAATACTTTTGAGTTCGACTTTTGACCCTACGTTTCTTCGTCAAAACCCTTCTTTTAGTCGAGGAACAATTAGACTAAAATAGAGATAAATGTTATTATTAATACTGTCGTATTGAAGACCTTTTCTATTTTCAGTACATAATAATGAAACATTACAAAAGAACTAACTATAATGGCAATAATGAAATATGAAGTAAAACTACTGAGTAGCTTTTCAAAAATAATCATTACTGAATATTATTTTGTAACAGGCTCTTTCGTTTTTATATAAACTTTTTCTCATAAAATCAAAGATTCTAGAGTCAACTTGTCGTTAGATCAGATGGAAATTTAATAATCATAGTTATTAATCATCAATGTGTTTTTCCTTTATCAAATTCATTACATATGAAAAAGAAAGTTATAAATCATGTGTGACCAAATTTCGAAAAGAAAGTCTATCTGAGTAACTGCCTAATTCGACTTATAATATAAGTGACGAATTTCTAATACACTCCTACACATACTTAGGAATAGATAGTGATAGATTTAGCTATGCCTATTCACCCATGCCAATTTAGGAATAGATTTTGTTATACATAGTCTCAGGAATACTCTCAGCCGAGCTATATGTCAGCCCAGGTCAACAAATCCGATGCTGGATCCGATCGGATCCGAGATCGTCGAAATCCAATGCGATTCCGTCACCAGGATTTTATCGGATTCGTCGAATTCCTGTAGGATCTGAAAAAATCCTATATTGGATCCAATCGGATCCGAGTCTCGGATTTGACGACCTGGGGCATAACTGTTTTTCTTTCTGCATAAATTATGCTTCTTACTGGCGAAACAATGTACCAACACAATCAACAAACGACATGCCTATATAAATAGAAAGAAACGAGACACAAACCATCACCTAGGTTACAAATCAACTTCTGAACAGAAACAACAACAACACATATTCTTCTCGTGTAAAATCGTACGAAGTTGATCAATGCCAACCTCAGGCTATTTAATTGATCGAAAAACCAACAAAAAATATGCTATTAATGGTTGCCCAAAGGCGGAAAGTCCTCCTTCAGATCCAAGATTAAAACAAAAGTTTTCCGATCATATTCGTTTCGGTGAATCTGAACTTCCATTTAAAGTTGATCTTCGTGAAGGAATGACGCCCGTGGAACAGCAAGAATTTATTAAAAGTTGGTATGTAAAGAATCTTACGTGAGATATTTCATCAGATAAAATATGTGAAATTTCGTTGATTTTAGCGTAGCGAATGCTTTTGCTGGTAAGTAGAACTTTCTTTGCAACAGATTAATTAAAGTTGAATTTAAGGTGCTTACGAATATCTATTGAAAAGAACTTACGGCAAAGAAATTGATATTAGCCGATTATTTATTTATTACAATGCTCGTGTCAAAGATCCAAATTATAATGGACACGTACGAGATAAAGGTTGTTCTATTACATATGCTCTAGAAGCATTGAAAGAATGTGACAGTTGTCTTGAAAAAATATGGTCTTATAGAGAACATCGAAAAGATACATGCCCCAGCGACGATGCTGTTGAGAACGCAGCAAATTTACTAATCACTGGTTCGATGGAAATTGGACACAACTTGCATGAAATGAAAGCATGTCTTGCGCAGCATATTCCATTTGTATTTGGTTTGAGTATCAATCAACGTGAATTTCAGGCACAAGGAAAGAATAAGGGATGTATACAAACACCACCTGAGAATAAACCTCAACCAAAGAATGGGTGAGAATTTGATTGTATTCTCCATGCGCAAAGTGAAAGAAACTGTTTTCTAAAACTGAACATTTTAGACATGCAATGCTAGCTGTTGGTTATAGTGAAATATACAAGACATTCATTGTTCGAAATTCATGGGGACCAGAATGGGTAAATATGATTCTATAATCAGAAAGATTCACTTTTCATGTAACGATAGGGTGACAATGGATATTGTTATATTCCATGTAAATATATGCTCAACCAGGACCTATGCTACGAAATATATGCTGTCGCCAATTTGGAAGATTTAGACGATCTGGATTCAAAACCTGTCGACAAAGATGGTTGGTTTGACGAAGACGAAACGAATTATCTGGAAGATTGTGACAATGAAGAAGAATACGATATTGATGATCTGAAAATTGTGGACGGAGAAACGGAAGAATCAGAGGCAACTTACCAAGAAGAAACGGAGGAAAACGAATACAATTAGAAGGAAAGTTTTTCAGCCGCACAAAACTTTATAACTTTTCTTATTGTCACAATGATTTTTCTATGATTTTTTCAAATAGAGGAGTGAGAGTGTAGGTGCACATAATTGACTCTCGTATTCACAGATGAGCCGTGATTTAAACTCAATTTTGCCCCATTTAAAGTACTAGGCAAACACGTTGCGATCTCACAAAGATTTTCATGGCAATCTCATGTTCAATTGATTCTAGTATTTGATGTCTGCTACAAGTCTTCTAAACCAACTATGCATATCCAAATCGGTATCCTCTGAAACCAGGGTGTGAGTGTGGGTGAGGGTGGTATGTTGACGACTAAGGGCGTAAATGCACCATGTGTGTACCAATTCTCTTTGTCTCTCTCTCTCTCTCTCTCTCTCTCTCTCTCTCTCCCGTGATCTCTCGCTACTGCTGCTGTTCTTCTCTCCTTGGATGTTCGCTCTTGCGTTGTTCGTGCAGAATTCCATGATTTCTCGCGCATTTCTAATGAATTGCGCTGATGGGTGTGAGGGTGAGGGTAGGGTGAGACTAGCTGCCATAATCCAGATTTCACTTCTGCTAAGAAGATCATCAGATCTTGAGGGGTGGGTGAGGAGGGTGAGTCAAAGCACGCCATTATCGCGATTTCATCCCTGCTAAAGGAATCATCAGATAGTTTTACACTGCGTAAGCTATCCGAATTATCCGGAGATCACAGATAAGCTTACATAATCTGCGTAGTTGGACAACTAAGAGGCACTGTGGTAGGAATATATGCAATTGTTAGGGTATGAGGATGTGTTTGTAGAAAAATAGATTCAAAGTATCATACGACATGTTTCGTCCTTGCTAAAGGGACTCGACAGGTATGTTAATCTTTTCGGGACGGGGTTCTTTTTTAACAGACCAAATAACGAAACACGATACTAATCAAAGTCGCTAGATTTTCATTTTTAGTTCATTATTTTCATCTGTCGAGAGACTAATACGGCACATAAGCTCATTAGTGGTATCGAAGACTAGAGGAATATCAGCTAGAATAATAGAAAAATAATATACAGTTAACGATTGGAATGATCTCAAGTCAGTGGCCATTATAGTGGCCGCCCGTCCCGAATGGGTTAAGAATCCGTAACCACATTAAATTAGTTGATAAACCTTACTATTGAAAGAGTTATCAATATAATAGTCAAAAAAGACTATCGACAAGATAAAATTTCAAAGGTTAAAACTAATGTATGATGAAACGTAGTTAATCTATAAAGGGTGTGAATTAAAAAGATAGATAGCTACTACTATAGTTGCGACCTTTCTCAAGGGTCTAGCCTTCAGGTAGCTTTTTTGAAAACTATGCATAAGAATATGAAAACAAAATTAAAAGTTTTTTTAACAAGAACTTCCAAAGTTTATTCTCAAAATTGAAAGTTAGCAAAGAAATCTATAGTTCACAAGGGTAAATCAGATGTAAAACAAATTAACCTATACAACGATTATATGAATTAATTTGCTAATGTCAACTCTTGCTTCTTCAGCAATCGATCTTTTCTAATTTAAAGTATTTGAAATAATAAGATGTTTTCAATTAATAATAAATGCAGAATATTGCTTTGTCGACGCGTTTCGTGTATTTTATTTAAAAATAAGAAACACTCATCAGGACTTTGCATATTTTATGAAAGCAGAAATAAAAAAATGAGAAAATACAGAAATGAATAATAGATATGGTAACAACAACCAAAATAGAAAACGATTAAGTAATATATGAATAGATAAATAGATAGGTGAAGAAATGAACATCGAGAAATAAATGTTTATCACAAACCTTTTTATAATGAATTTCGAGTATTGACATGTCGACATTGAAGATTATCGATGTTGCGGGTGTCCAGAATTGGTGTGATGTCATTTATTGAAGATTTAGAAAAATACTTAAGCCATAGATTATGAAATTTCTGAGAAAAACTCCTCATACTTGAACAATAAGTGAAATGAATGAACATAACTAAGTTTCTGACGAGTAGTATAATAATTAATTGAAGTTAATGGTTGATCAGTATTGAATTTTGTAAATAAATGATTAAGTTGTTGATCAATAAATTTACTTGGATATTAATTTAATAAGAGAGCCATTTTTAGATGATCACGTTCCTTTTCATATGATTGGAAAGTTGAGCAATACCGAAGCGCACGAAGTAACACCATGAAAGGTATGTTCTTTTTCATATGTAACGGATCAATGCTGTTGAATGGTAAATAGTATGGTTCATAAGATGATTTATAATATACAGAAGTAAATAGTTGTCCATCTTCATTTTCCAAATGCAGATCCACGAAATCAGCTTATAAATTAATATTAGCTAATAATTTAATATTGGAATCAAACGTATTCAATTGATCAAATTGTTTCTTAAAATGACGTTCTGGCCAATTGATAATGATAAAAACATCATCAATAAAACGATAATATAAACCGAAACTATTATGGATTTGACGAATAATTTTCTGTTCAAAGAAAAACACATAACAGTTGGCTATAGTTAAAGTAAGAGGAGAACCCATTGCTCCTCCTCCTCCTCTTATTTGATGATAATATTGACCATTATATTCAAAATATTTATTCTTAATAAAAAATCTTGCTAAACGAATAATAACTTCAACTGATAGACCTTCGATTTGTGAGATCATTGTATAGAGGTTAGCAATATCAATCGTACATAATAAAGTATCTTGTTTGAAATTAATTTGAGACCATTGTTGAAGGTTTTTTTACTATTCTCTTTCTCGTAGAGAAGAGTCTTAGAAACATAAATTGTTTGCTTCTTTACTTGTATGTCCGCAGGTTCAAAGAAACATCAAAAATCATTTTTTCTAAAAACACATTTCTAGGGATATTTCGTTGCGAGAATTTCGAATCTGATGTTACTTTTAAAAAATTCTTTTAAAAAATGTTTTTTGGAGAAAAGACCATTTTTTACGAAAAAGTCTTTTTTAGGGAAAGGACTGTTTTTTACACATTTGACCAAAACACTTTTTGGGTTGGGAAACAGGAATCTAGTATTAGTTGTTTAAACTTTTTTATGGGTCACTTTTTTTCAAGAGAGGACCACTTCTTATGAAAAAAACTGTTGTTTTTCTAAAAGTTGACCATAGGGTTTTCGAGGTATGGAGATACGAATCTAACGTTAGCTTTTTAAAGTTTTTTACAGAATAAAGTTATATACGCGATAAGGCATTAGAAATGTAATATCTGAAAGCACTCCTTATACGAGAAAGAGCTGAGCGAGTCTGTTGACGAGCGTTACTTGTTTGATAAAAACGTCGTAGAATTTTGGTTTGATAATGAACAATCGTATTTCGAAGTTCAGTTTTATAGAATTT